TGAATGGCCGAAACATAGATCAACTTTTTTCTCTCTCAAAAAAATCATATGTTGCACACGGCAGAAAAGCAGATTCAATGTCTTGGCTGGCTTCCTAGCTTCGGCTACGCCTTGGCTATGAAATGCAAGCCGCGGCATTAAATCTTGTGCTTTTCTGCATAGTAAAACAAATAAATATTTGTTCCATTATCCTGATCTGGATCTTCAAAATGGGCGTTTTTTTCCTGGATTTAAATGGTGTTCGATGTTCCGCCACCAAAATTTCAAAATTTTCCTTCTCCAAATATTCAAGATGGTCCTTCTCCAAATATTCAAAAATGATCTTTTTTCCTTCAAATGACGGATAGAACATGTTTAGAACAGAACACTAGCTTCACATTGCTTTTTTCAAATCTAGAGACGGTAGTGTCTCACACCAAGTATACTCTTATAATAATTATGAAATTGTTACTGAACATATAAAAAACCTGCTTTTGTATTTAGCCGAACTAAAAAATAGAGAATTAATTGTGGTTGAAAAACTAGGAAAACACGATTTTTTAGATGGCCAAACTGAAAAGAAGTAGAAAATCTGTATGTTGAAAAGAAAATCCAAATTTTTTTGCATTTCTTTTAGTACGGAATAGGATAATAAGTATTAAACTTTGTCAAAATTAGCACAATTAGTATCTGGGAGTTATCGGGGTTGGCGATTATGATTTCTTCAACAAAATCAGGAAATTCAAGATGGTAGATCCAATGGGGCGGCCGAGTTTTGTAATTATGATCCGATTCTATTCAAAATCGGTATCTGCGGGGTTTCGGAAACGGAGATTATGATTCTTTCGTCAAAATTAGGATATTCAAGATGGCGGATCCAATATGTCGGACGAGTACATTTATATAGCAAAATAACGTTTGCCGGGTCAGCTAGTGAAATAATTAAAGTGTAATAGACAACATAAAAATTGTTGGCCGCAGTGATGTGAAATGACGGTCATTTAAAAATAGTGACCATGACCAGTCATATGACGTACCTATGTCATTTAGTTATGGACATCAATACTAGATACTAATAGGTGCGTTTTGTTGATAACCTGTCGAATAGAATAGAATGGTTGTGCAAGAAAACGGAATTAACCCAAATAATGGACTACAATGATTGATCAAGAAAACGGAAATTTCATGTTGGTAACCTGACTTTTTTCCTCATGTAATAGCTTCCTTGCATAGATTCAACGTCGAGGAGAAATACTGTCGTTTTTTGAAAATGATACTTTATTGAATCTCCGAATCCTCAATGGAAAAATCCATCTGGCAGCGACATAATTCCTATCCAATTTAATAACAAATGACATATATTCCTTCGTTATATGAACTTTAACTATTTTCACTCACTAGCTTTGGGTGAGAAAATCAGAAAATCAGAAACCTGAAAAATGAACATTGAATACCGCCATTTTGTTCGATTTCTCTTCTTGACATCTTATTCCATCGTCCTGTTCGATCGAAATATATCAAGCAGCCAGAGCGAATAACTTTTGAAATTGTAGACGCGAATTCATAGAATATGTCAAGAAAACGCATGGAATAGCTGTTACAGAACTAGGTTAGCGTCAACAAAACGCACCTAATGACAAACATTTAAATTCTAATGAATTAACTTTATATCTCAATACGTTTCGATATTTGTATTGAAAGAAGCATGAACTCAAAACATAAACAAAATTCTGAATATAAATGATAGGTATTGAAATGGGCGTGTACAACTTAGTAGAACTTTTAACTCAAACCATGTTTCTAATGATCCTTTTATACATAAATAATGATTGACGACATAATTCGATCGAAAAATTAACTGGAATGTTTTATTTTTGGACATAAATAATGATACCTTCTGAAAACGGACCCTCTTATGACGTAGAATCCTCATCTCCACATAGTTGAAAGTAAATACCAAACGCCCGACGGAGACTGAGGCAACTGATATATTAATTCTTTCAACTGTGATCTCGCGCTAATTCACTCTGTCAGAAATCATGTATCATTCATCTTTGTCTGGAATAGTCTTGTTTCAGTATTAGGGTTTTGACGTCACATCATCGCCTCGTTTTCAGAGGTCCGAAATATCGGGGATTTCAATATTTTTTCATAAAACGTAGGGAGCTCACAGCAAGAAACGATTTGCGGTGATGAGCTAGTTTGGGTGAGTTCTATCGAATTATGAAATAAATTTTTTTTGTGATACAAGCCCATTATGAAAATCTTGTCAATATAGACTCGACATTTATTCTGCAACTATCTCGTCTTCCTCTTATCTTCATCCATTTCATCATCAGCATCTGAAGTTTTTCCATTTCCTCAGATATCTGAGTCCTGCATCTCTCTCGACTGTGGTATGATGACATTGTTGATGACAACATCATACTCAGAAAATATGATTTTTTTAACAGAGCTGTCCCCTAATAAATTCTAGTTATGATGCACATAAGTATGAGCATTCTTCTGGTTTAATTTTCAGGTTTAATCACATACGGTCATTTTCAATGTGACGTGACGATCATTACTGGTCATGACAATTTTTTTTTATATTCTGGCTCCCACGAAAAGTGATATCCTGTAATGTTCAAAGAACATCGGGAGAACCAAGGGAAATAAGTTAGGAATTGGTGTTCTTCTTGAATTTCTGGAGGTTATATGCCTCAGGGAACACCTCCCTTGGCAATGTGTTCCAGAGCCTCGCTGTTCGTTGGATGAACGAGTCTTTGGAAAGAGATGTTCTGCAGGCCTTCAAAGTGACCACGAAGGGGTGCGAAGCCTCAACTCGACTGGTTAATCTCGCGGGGGCTGCCAATGGAGGAACAATTGTTGATATTCCAGAAGAGCATCGTCCATGAAAATATCTATAAAATAGGGCCAGATCGCCAACTTTTCTACGGTGTTGCAGAGAAGTGAGTGAGTTTGTGAGCGAGGCATCACCCACGAGACGAATTGCCCTTTTTTGGACAAAATCCAACAGTTTCAGGGTATGTTTTGGTGCTGTACTCCAAATGTGGGAACAGTATTCCAGGACAGGTCGGATCTGTGTCTTATAGATCATAAGCAGCTGACTGGAAGTAAAATAGCTCCTGGCCCGAAACAGAAAACCAAGGTTTTGGGATGCACTTTTAGCAATTGATCTCACGTGATTTTCTCAAGAAAGGTTATTGCTGATAGTAATACCAAGCATCGAAATAGATGTCTTAAAAGGTATGGTTACTCCTGACAGGCTTATGTTGGGCACAGTGAGATCGGCTTTCCTAGAGCAAAAAACATGCTTGTGTTTTGTTTGCATTGAAATCTACCAAGTTATTGGATCTCCATTCTAGAATTGTTGTCCATATTTATGTTGTCAACATTTCTTCCTCGTTCGTTTCTGATTTGCCATGCTGGTATTGGAGCCTTGGAAGAGAAGGCGGTATGAAGGGTACTATCATCTGCGAAGCTGTGTATTGGATGAAGTTGCTTCCAACAAATCGTTGATATGGAGTAGAAATAGTGTTGGTGCTATGGTTGATCCTTGCGGAACACCAGCATTTATGATAAGAGAGTCAGATCAAATTCCGTTGACCACTACATGGAGAAACTTGTTTGAGAGAAAACTAGCTAGCAGAGAACATAGCTGGGAAGGCAAGCCATAAGAGGGAAGCTTGGCGAGGAGTTTGTGGTGCCAGACTCGATCGAATGCCTTGGAGATATCAAGTGCCGCGGCTAAGGTTTCACCATATTTTTCAATAAGTTGCTGTCATACAGGCTTGGGCAAAAGTATCTATTGGTATTCAATAGGAACAGATACAGGGTGATCAGATTTCTGTATCTTGAACCAACCTGTATTTGTTTCAATTAAATGTCGGTAGGTAGTGAATCAATAGTTGACGTAGGGACATGTAAGCCGTTTTGACCAATAATGAAAAGTTTCCACACAAAAAATCCTAAAGTTGAAAAATCTCGATTTTGAATACCCTATATCTCAGTTATTATTCTTGCTAGATCCCAGGAGTGATAATTTGATGAAATCAGCTTTTCAGGAAGGATATGAAAATTCAATAAAATGCAGGGTGTTCTGTTTAAAATAAGGAAGTTGATAATAATTCAGGTATAACTGAAAAAGTGGCAACATCGACGATAACATTTTCAAATCCACCACGTTTTGAAATCATCCTGTACATATATTCAGAAAAATCTAATAAACGGTTACCGAGATATTCCCTGGTTCCATACTTTTGCTCAACCCTGTATATGTGAGACGTAAACGAGCAGGTCACCAGTTGATCTCTGATGACGGAAGCCATATTGCCTATCATTGATAATACCTGAAAATTCCAGGTATTTCATGAGCTCGATATTGATAGCTTTCTCCATGATCTTTGAAATAATAGATAGCAGTGCGATTGGTCTGTAGTTCCTAGGTAGGGTATTCTTGCCTTTTTTAGGAACTGGTTGTACTCTTGCAATTTTCCAGTTGGACGGGAATAATGATGGTACGTCATGACACGGTCATATGACCCACTCACATCTCTGGTTGGCTGGTAATCAGTTCATTTTATGTTGTGTATTTATCATCACACTGCTGAAAAGTCAATTGAATCTCATACTGTTTTCCACTGGACTGAAATTATGAACGGCATATCTATCCCTGAGTGATGACACATTTATAGGGTGAGTCAGAATAAGACCGACAAACTTTGTACACGGATTTCTTACCTCATTTTGAGGTGAGAAGTTCCTAACAACGTATGTTCTAAAATGCATCCTCACTGAGATACAGGGTAATCTTTGGTAGAAGTCCATATTGCTCAAAGTGGAGTGAAATATTTTACTTGTGGAGATGACTTCGAGCATTCCTTCCTTCCTGTGAGATACAGGGTGTCGAAAGTACGAAAAAAGTTGAGATTTCTCTAAATTCTTCCAGAACCCCTGTAGCAAAGAATATGAAACTCGTTATACGCCCGTGAAAAAACCCACCATTTTCATTTTTACAGGTGGATGGAGAAACTAACGAAAAACTAACAGCCACGCTATTATTAAAAAGGAGTATAAAATTAGCAAAGTGGTTGCAGAGTCAAGGTATCGGAGTTGGTGACAGTATTTCCATAAATAGTGAAAATCGACTAGAATTTTGTGTGGTACCTGTAGCTACCCTATTTGCCGGGGCTACCTTTTCACCGCTGAACCCGGATTACCTACCACGTAAGTTAGTTAGAATGGATTTTAGAAAAACATTTGCCTAGATTAAGTAGAGGAAATTCGCTTAATCAGCGTCATATCATCATTCGGTTTATCTCGAAAGAATATCAATCCAATCTCGACAAATTCCTTGATTAAAAGTGAAATTTTATTTTGGTCCCCCATGTTCGATATACAAGTCGTCAAAATTTGAAATTTGAAGAAAAATAGTAATTTTTCTAACAAGTGCGAAAAGTGACACTTTCCCGCACGCTACTGGCGTTGATTCGAACGACGCGAAGCGGAGTTCGTGCAAGCAGTCGAGCAGGAAAGACAGTTTCCGCATGCGTTAGGAACAATATTTTTTCTTCAAGCTTAGAAAATTGATTGAATTGTTCAATGCAAATAGGAACAACTAACACGAGTAACATTTTCTCTATCTACTAATTATTAGTGATAGCTATTGTGTGAATGATGTACAGTTTGACGCAATATGTAAGTTCATTGCGAAAGCCAGCATGCCCTTAACCCTTTCGGTCACCATGGTCGTTAAAACGAACATGTACTTTTCGTGCCAATAGTAGATTGAGGCGACACCTATCATTCCATTTATACACCACATTAGACGCGAGGGACCTTTATATTCAATGACTGATATAGGTTGCGCGATCTCTCGGGATATTATACAAGTTTCGCTTATTTACCTTCTGTGTGTACAGAGAGTCAGCTGTTATTGTTCATGAACACATTTCTCGTATTTGTTTTGATAAAATAGTAAGTGAATTTGAGTTCCAAAATTTATTTTTCAATGCCTCATATGTTCATTATAATATATAAAAAACCAAATGATCTAATATCATATTTTTTCATACACTTATTCGAGAAAATCATATGTACCTTAGAACGAACACGGTGACTCGATGAAGTGGGCCATTTACCAATATTTAATGGAAGTAGGGATGGAGTAAGGTGCAAAAATGGAGCTTGCCTCAAAAAAACACATTTTAATTGTATGAAATGTGGTGTACATTTATGTATTACTCGTGATCGTAATTGTTTCAAGGATTACCATATGAAATAAACCACAATGTTGTAGTTATTTATTTCCTTTCCTTCTCGTAGAGTCACCATGTTCGTTGAAACGAACATGATTTTTTTCAGAAAAATCGAGGCCGTACGGACTTCAAAAAATTCTCAAAAATCATACAAAAAATCACTTCAACCCCCACTTTCATGAAAAATTTTTTACTGAAAAAATGAAAAGTCGTGACTGAAAGGGTTAAGGTGTTTGGCCTGTAGGTTTCAAACTTTTCTAATAAATGTAAAAACTCCACAAACGATAAGATTTTTTTTTATGTTCTGGTTCCCACGAAAAGGGATATCCTGTAATGTTCAGAAATACTGGTACACTGAACTAAACTAACCATGGCTTGCCTAACTTATACAGGGTGTTTCTTAAGTACGTGTAGATAATTCAGGAGCATGTCGCTGTCGTCAAAATAAGAAGAAATGTACGTATAAATATGTGTCCGATAGTTCTTCGTTTCTGAAATACAGAGTATTGAAGTTGAATTCTTATTTAATATGTTTTTTGTTGATACATTCCGAAATGATTGTGATATTCGAATAAAGTTCGGTATCTAGGGGTATTTTTCAATGACAAATTTTATGTTGGGTTGTCCCTTTCGTGGCGGTAGCGCCACCTACATGTCTTTTGAGTCTTTTGAAAAGTCATAACTTTTTTGTGCGTACTTGTATCACGTTTTATATTAGAAAAATAGGTTTCTAGAATACTTTTGTAAAAAATATATCCGTGGTAGAGGTCGCTGCGAGCAACTGTTTTCGAGTTATTGGGATTTGAAATAATCGATGCATTTGAATTATTTCCATGGGGCTCGTTAGTCGCCTCTAAGTAGTAATTATCAGGAAAGATACGTCAGTGCATTTTTCTTTTTTCATTCAATATTCTCCTACATTCAACATTGGAATATCGGCAAAAGCTGATTCTTACTCCTTTGTACCTACTTTTTTGAAATCTTTCAATTTGAAAAAGTAACAATCAAATAAAAGAGTCTCTGATAATCATCGACTGCCGAATCACCAGACATTCAGAAACCTTTTTCAGCGTCTTATGGAGTGTGGATCCTTTAAAAATGCTCCAGTGATAGGCAGACCGTTGACTACGCTAGGACTACAGAAACTGAAGAAGGCGTTCTTCTGGCAATCGAAGAAGATCCACAGACAAGCACGAGAAAAATTGCGCAAAATCTTACGAGCCCCATGGAAATAATGCAAATGCATCGATTATTTCAAATCCTAATAACTCGAAAACAGTTTCTCGCAGCGATCTCTACCAAGAATATATTTTTGACGCAAAAGTGTTCTAGATATTTCTACTATGAAACGTGATACAGGAACGCACAAAAAAGTTATGACTTTTCGAAAGACTCAAAAGACTTGTAGGTGGCGCCACCCTCACGAAAGAGACAAACTAACATAAAATTCGATATTCTCATTGCAAAAAACCCCTAGGTACCAAACTTCATTCGAGTATCACAATTATTTTGAAATTTATCAACAAAAAACCAAAATTAAAATTCAATTTTGACACTCTGTATTTCAGAAACGACTAACTTTCGGACATATACTTATACGAACTTTTCTTCTTATTTTGTTTGTTGATTTCAAATGATTCAAAATGATTGAGTTTCATTCCTTTATTTTCTACGTGTAGAATTCTGAGATTATCATCAAAGCCATGGTTTTCTTCTAATATATGGTTGGCGTATGTTGAATTTGTTTTCTTTTTCAAAAAATTCATCTTATGTTCATGAATGCGCTGATTTAACGTACGACCTGTCTGACCGATATATACCTTAGAACAAGATCCACAGTTTTGTTTGTATCCTCCTGATTTTTCGAATGTAGAAGTTTTGTCTTCATTATTTTTGATGAACCACGTCAACGTGTTATTTGTTCTATATGCTTCTTTTAAGTCCTGTTTGTAGAAATGAAACGAATTTTTCAGTTGATGATCCGAAATACGTTGAAGTTCTATAATTTTGATTATTATTTCTGATCGGATAATCTTCTTGTATAGCTTTATTATGGAGTTTTTAGAAAGGATACTGTCTATCAAATTGACGATGTATCCGTTGTTGACTGCAATTTGTTCATGTTGAGTTCTTTATTGAAATTTACTTCCGAGAAAGGGGAATTCACTAGCCTGTGTATCATACTATTATATGCTGTAATTTTATGTTTATGAGGGTGTGTTGAATTATTATGAATAGTGATATTGATATAGAAAAGTTAGGCAAGCCAAGGTTAGTTTATCATTGTAGAATATTGTGGAAATCTTATCGTTTGTGAAGTTTTTACATTTGCCATGGATTTTCATCAAGTAACGACCGAGTCAATTGAAAAAAAGTTCTTATAAATGAGCCAAATATACTTATTGTTTATGTGGTGTTTTCATTTTTGTATTGTTGCACCATTCAATGAAACGCGTGTATTGCTTCTCATACGTTTCTTAAGACTCCGTTGGCAATAACGCATCTGTAGCTAGAAGGTTTTCACCGCATGTGACAAATGACAGTAACGATGTGTCTGTCACCCCGACAATTACAAACTAATTTGCGGTTTGATTGGCATGACAACAATAATTGTTTTCCACATCAGATCAATACAATTCTTTAGGGGAATCATTACAGCAATCAATTTTAATTTAACAATATCTCTTGATTTTCCCAATAAATAGTGCAATTTGATGGATGATTCGAAAAAAAACTTAATACTGCAACAAACAAACTTATCTTTCATATTCCATTACCAACCACTAAAATTATGTGATAATTCCATATCATTGCTTTTTCCGCACTAGTGTGGAAAACATTTTCCCGAAACAACAGCTCGAAACCGGTAAGCAGGTAGTCACGCGTTCCTGAACCACTTAGGTGCAGCTAGGCGATTTTATTCGTCTATACGAATAATTGCATAGATTTCGGGAGAATGTAATTCAATGTTCTGCGTGGCATATAGCAAGGAAAGTAGTAGTTTTTCTCTCGATATCTACCATTTTTGTTCATTTTATGAACTATTGTGGTAATGACTTTGAGTTTCTCAGGATTTCTCTCTTTTGTGAATGAGATTTTTCTTTCGTTTTATGGTATCTGATCTGATAAATACTGTCTGTAGGTTAATCGAGGAGGTGGTACATTCATTTTACTTGGTTCTTTTAGACTCCCTGATAGAAAAATTTGTTAAACGCAGTGACATTTTGGGGCAAATCATCTGATTTGTCCCTCTACAAATATATTGAAATAATACGAATACTTTTATTTTATAGAAACGAGGAGAGAAAATCCCAAAGAACCAAGTAAAATAAAAATATCTGATCTGAGTTCACCAAATTTGAATAATGCAATTTCGTTCTATGGTAGAAAATGTTCACCTGGATTGCGTAATGTGGTTGCGTCGGGCTAACCCTGGCTGGATACTGTCCTGGTTCACTTCAATGGGTTCACGAAGGAGTAAAACACTACAATTTTGGAGCTTGTTATGACTTAATAAATTTATAAATTTTTGAGAGGCCTGTAGCGATATACACACACGATGATGAGTTGATAATAATACATTTTTCTGTTCTTTTTCCGGCGTTACAAAGCTTCATAGCAAATTCTACCATATAGACGCGATAAATAATTTTCATATATAATACCACAAGTGATAATATTTTGCCGGAAATATTCGGTGATTGTTACGACAGCTTGTTGCCTAGTAATTTCGTGAATGACATTGTTATCAAAACTACGAGCCGTAGGCGAGTAGTTTTGGATCAATGTCATGAGCGAAATTAGAGCAGCAAGCTGGAGTATGTCAATCGACGAATATTCATGATTTCATGATTGAATGAGACAATATATATAAGAAATAGGAAACATAATTTAAGTATATTCCAACTTGAACTGCGAAGAATAACATAATGATAGTAATGATATACATAACTACCTACTTATAGTTATTCACAAAGTGGAATGTACAATTTTGATAAACAGTATTTTTTTTATTATCTCGGAGATGGTTGCTCTCAAAAGAGTGTATAACATTACTATCCAATTCAAACAAAATAAATTGAATTTATGTGACATGGAATAATTAAAAAAAAAAGATATCGTCGCCGAGGGCTCGAACCATCGACCTTCTTATCCTCGCGCAACAACCCTAACAGTTGCGCTACATCAGCTAGTATTTATTTCAGTCAGTCACAATAACTAGAGTAATTGAAGAAGATTACTTCAAAAAGGAATTTGAATTCTATTATTGTTGTGTCAGACCGTCAACAAATATGCAAACTTTTCAAATTACACATGAAACGTCCAGCCAGAATAAAATTGTCTCGCCTTTCGTACAAAATATCTCACTAACGCGAATTATAAGTAAATAAAATAAAGTAGGAACTTAGGTTATTGTCTCAGATTTGAATCCGAAGCAATCTTGACCAGACACGATGTCAAAATTTTATCACTGACAAACGAGGTTAGTTGGTCACGTGTGGGTCAATTCGGCTTCTGTATTGGTAGAGCAAGTCCGATAAAATTTAATAAACAAAAAATATCGCTAGAATACAGAAGAAACCATGAAAATGGTCGATTCTGATTGGGTCTCGAGATCAAGAGTGGAATAGTCATTATAATTATTGAAGTTCGTTTCAATGAAGTAATACTGATTATTATTTTGAATTATTTCTAAATTAATTGAGAAGCTACAAAACTAAACAGAATGTGTTTTAGGTGAGTTGACTCATGTCCTGAATCTTTCCAAACCAAAAGTGATATTCTGCTCCAGCAAAACAATCGACAAAATGTTGAATATTCTACCGCAACATCCTCACATACAAAAATTAGTTTTATTCGGAAACGAACAAGTCCGTTCCGAAAATGTCGTCAGATACCAAGACATTGTAAATGGCGCCGATTCAGAGGAAGTCGACGAGGAATACAGCGTGACGTCATTGGACCCTAAAGAAGCCGTCGCCACCATTTTGTGTTCCTCGGGAACCACCGGCATGCCTAAAGGTGTGATGTGTACGCACGACAGCATGACAGCCTACATTGACATTTCCAGGTGGGTAAAATAGAAGCTTTATTCCGAATTCACCTGACAGTATTCTGAATCTGCTGATTTTTCATTCCGAAATCAAAAAAATTCACTGAACGTGACAGATACTTGTTAGCAGACTAAGGTATTTTTTCGCGAGTTCCCGTTGATCAGCCACCGGTAATAAAGCGGTTATACCAAAAAAAAAAAAAAATAAACCGAAGGCCGTTCATAACAAAAAGCATCTCAAAATGTTCCCAACAGTACTGTCAATGATTGATGATTTTTTTGATTCAACTTCGATTGTACTTGTCTTATCCCATTCAACTTTTCAAAGTACAATTATAGAGCCACGATTTTCAGAAAGTTATTTTCATCCTAGAGTGAATCATATGGACTGGATAAATAAATATAATGAAGTGGTATTTTTCCAGCTATTTCGAATGAAAAGAACAACTTTTTGAACGTTATTGACTGTTATGTTACAGAATGACCAACACTGTTTGGTAAAAAAAAGTATATGGGTGTAAATTTTCCATTTGCTCCTGAAAAAATAGTTATTTATTATACAAGGGAAAAAAGTAGTAGATTTTAGCTCCAGGTTGTGTTGTCTCCCGACGCGTAGCGGAGGGAGACAAAAAACCGTGAGCTAAAATCTAATATTTTTCCCGTGTATAATACACTATTTTTTTCTGTGACAGAAGGAAGGACGAATCAATATTGGAAAGATATTACATTATTTCGAAATCTGAAAATTATCGACGTGAAATTTCAAGTTTTCAACAGTAGGGACACCTGCGTTTTATAGACATCTTCATCATTCTTTTGAAGTAATCAAATATCTGATGTCACTTCTGTCAGTCCAATTCTGTTATTTGATTTTAAAAAATTGCGAATTCAGTAGTTGTTTAGTAATATACGAAACCGCGAAGTAGAATGGAAGATAAAAGGACTTGCAGTTCTTTCTCGGAGACGGTATTATTGACTTATTTTTCGGAACTATAGCACAACAAAAGCCATTAACAGAGTATATATATGTGATATAGGTATATCCGGGAAAGAAGTACTCACTTTTTTCCCACGGGAAAAAAGTAATTTCTGAAAAGTGACATTTTATAACCTGCCAACAGAGATGAAATGCCAAACTTTTTTCCCGTCACAGAAAAAAATCATTAATATTTTTGTGGTATATCGCTCATAATGATCCCCTCTATCTATTGGTGTTCTTGTTGGTGTTCTTCCATTTCTTGATTTGAAAAGTGAGTAGTAGGTATCTCAAAAATAGTTTGAATAATTCTAAATATGTTTACTTCTAATAATCAAATAATACTTTAAAAATAATGATACAATGTCACTTGTCAATTACTATAACCGCCAGTAACCATGTTCACAGATGCATGAACTAGAACAGTTCCCGTTTTATGAATTGTGACGTCACTGATGACGTCATTATCATACTCCCATATTACCGTTATGACGCGAAAATGCAACGGGAACTGAATATCAGTTCCCGGCAAATCAACGGGATCTCGCGAAAAAATACCTATACTAAACTGGTCAACATTGATAACGTCGTGGTCCGAAATATAGCCTGAATTCAAAGAAGAATAACTCACGAATTTACTTACCAATTTGAAATCGGTTTCCACCAATGATCAGCCTGATCTCTTGTTGTGGCAATATGAAACTTCTTTAATTTCAGACATCATTGCTACAGGGTGATAATTGAATGGGTGTAAAATTGCATCGTGGTCGTCACCTTACCGTTTGAACAGATAATTTGTTTAATTTTTTTTCTCACCTGTATCCTCTTGATTGATTCTTTCTCTCGAAACGTTTTCGGAATTTTCGAATTCAGAGCTTTGATAATAGTGTTATGAATATTCATTCAAAATGATGCATTTTCTCGATGATTAATTGAATGGAATTGGAAGTTGGAATTCTTTTTCAAAAAATCAACCTTGTATGTATAGTCGTCGGATATGTTGATCGTGTTCGAACACAGAAAATTCTGAAGTAGTCTATACAAAGTGATACAAGAAATACTGAATGATGGAATGGCTAATAACGTAGTCTTCAGTAGATGAAACATAATGTTCTCTGTGTTACTATTGAAATAATGGAGTGTTACTTCGTCATGAGGATGTCTGGTATCTGACCTCGAAATGGTTTTGTAATTTCTCGGATCGAAGGTCATGTAATGAAGGTACGCATTATTAATCAATATGATGCATTTTCTTCAGATAAATTATAGAATTCAAAAAATTACGATTTTAGTTCCAGAAGTATGAAATTTATATTTTTTCTTTGATGATACAAGGTGCGATAAAAAATATGTCTAGATTGTTCCGGCATGAAGAAGAATATGTTTGAACGTGATGAAAATCGCTATGTTCCGAAAAAGTAATATAGTGTCGGTAATGTAACTTTTGATGAGGCTCATACAAGGAAATATGAGAGAGACTGCAGAGTTGCCATAGATTCAATGAAATGTTTTTCATACTAACGAAAATAAATACAGTGAGTCCTCATGCGGCTTATACGAGGTAAAATGAAAGAGATTTTTTTCACGTGAGAAAATCGAAATAGTAATCATTATTTTTTCAACCGAATTCGTCAATCTATAGCAGCAGGTGAGATATAAGGAATTTCTTATGAATCACATTGTGGAAAAGATGATACAGAAATGAACATTAGAGAGTTATTCTATCTCCATCCAACTTGACACTGAATAACTATGAGGAAATTGTCCTTCTGAAGACCATATTGCAGGTGCTAGATCAATATAAGATGCAATATGGTAACAAGTATGCACGAATATATGGCAATTCTGAAGTCTCTTTCATATTACCTCCTAAAAGCCCCATGAGGACTCACCGTATTTATCCTAATTAGTATGAAAAACATTTTCGAATCTATGTGATGGGTATTGGTTGAATTGGTTTATAATTAGAATAATAGCTTGAGAAGAAACAGTGGACTGTATTTTGAATAGGTACTTGATTGAAGACCGCGAAGTTAAGAAATTTCGAGCACTCAGATCTTACCTTGGTGTGATAATCCAGCCTGATCGCAATCTTCGTTCTTCTGGCCTGCCGGCTGAGATCAAAGTGCTGTAATCTTGATGTTCGTATCTATGGTAGGTTCTCCACAGAAACAAAAAACTCACGAACTTTGCGAGGTTTATTATAGGTTCGGTAACGGTATAGATAAGTATAGATAGGTAGGTATCCTTTTCACTCGGCGTGGTAAAAACACACACTGTTAAATTTTTTGGTTCTCGTCTTTAGTTCTTTGTCGGGAAGGTCAGCACCGAATTCGAGTAGTTGCCAGTTGTGTAAAAATTTGTTAATTTGACAAAACATATGACATACACAATATAAAAAAAAGCGTAGGGACGCGGCACTATGGCAATTCTGTAGTTCCTTTCATATTCCCTCGTATAAACCTCATGAAAAGTTACTGTATTTATACATTTCACAATTTTCGACAATGACCAACACTATATTTCTCTTTCGGCTATATTTTGGACCAGGACGTTATCAATGTTGATCATTCTATATGTACAGGGTGGCCAACTAAGACTCCAGAGTTCGATTTCTCTATTGTCTTGAGAGATACAGAAAAAAGTCATGTATCAAAATTGAAGTAATAATCGAGCTTCACATTTCAAAATTTCTTTGAAATACACAGGGTGTTCCGTAAGGTCACAGCACATCAAAGCTATGTTTTTTTCATTGGAACACCCTATATTTTATTTCATTTTTGAAATCTCCCTGAAGATCTGATTTCAACGACCTATCATACTTAGGGTCTAGCAGTGAAAGTTACTGACATATTGGGTGTGCAAAATCTCGAGATTTTCCAAGTTCAGGATTTTTTTCTGTCGAAACTGTTCATTATTCGTCAAAACGGTTTACATGTTCACTCACTATAAATTGGTGTTCAATTGAAATTGATACAAGGTGGTCAAAAAATCTTAATTTATAATTTGTTTCAATTAAATGTCAATCGAACACCAATTGATAGTGATTGAAAAGTTGAAATAGGGACATGTAAACCGTTTTGACGAATAATGAACAGTTTCGACAGAAAAAAATCCTGAACTTGGAAAATCTCGATTTTGCACACCCAATATGTCAGTAACTTTCACTGCTAGACCCTAAGTATGATACGTCGTTGAAATCAGATCTTCAGGGAGAATTCAAAAATGAAATAAAATATAGGGTGTTCCAATGAAAAAAACATAGCTTTACTGTGCTGTGACCTTACAGAACACCCTGTGTATTTCAAAGAAATTGCGAAGCTTGGTTATCACTTCAATTTGAATGCAAAACTTTTTTTTGTATCTCTCAAGACAACAGAGGTATCGAACTCTGGATTCTTAGCTGGCCACCCTGTACATACATTCGAATTGAAGTTACGGATTTGTGTTCTTGCTCATTGTCGAATGGTTGAAAATATTTTTCAATAAATAATGAGTGAAAAAATAAAAATAAATGAATAAGTAAAATGTGTTGGGCAAGCTTTTGTTACGGGGTCTTCGCCTTCCCTGTGGTAAGAATGAGATAATTTTTGCAGGAATATCATGGGCGATATAGTGGATAATGACGATCCTAGTGACGCTATGATGGGACTCATACCGTTTTTCCACTCGTTCGGTTTCATGTTGATGTTCTTGAATCTTTTGAGAGGTAAAACGATGGTGGTCCTCGGCAAATTCAAGCCGAAGATATTTCTCGATGCCGTAGTAAATTATAAGGTAAATACTTCGTACAGGATGGAATAGAAATTTGATAGAATAAAGTCCCGATGATGACGAAGTCATTGGCCATGTCGTCATTCAGTTGTTTTTCATTTTTGACTTTTATGTTAGACATTTGGATCGGAGATATGGTTCCTCAGAAACCCATATTTTCACTTAAAAGTCTCTTCTGGTTTCAACGGATATTGAGCTAGGTTGAGAATTTTGAATGGAACCCTGTTGATATGTTTACGTCATTCGATAAAGTGAGAAAAAAACCTTTCCAATACCATATCTCAAAAGATTTAACCGAAATAACTCAGATAAAATGTTTCTTGTGGAGTTTTATTATTCATTATATTCAAAAATTCACTATGTAACAGTTTCTCTGTTATGTTATTATGTTTTTTGTTAATATGGATTGAAGTTTCATTTGCGAAATGAATGCAATCCAATGATCCAAAACATCGACATAATTAAAATAATTGTGCAGCTCCATGTTTAACCGTGTTTAATTTGAAATATCTCGAAAAATGATGATTTTATCGCTATGAAGAAAGTACGACATTCGCGTGGAAAGGAATTCTCAAATCCATGAACATGATACTAGAAAATATGATGCATCTTGATGCTGCTATTTCTACACTTGACCAAAAAAAGTTTACTCACGGAGCTATCCAAAATTTAATGAATTACCTGATGATATCAAATATCACCCAATTCGAAATAAAGTCAAGAAACATATCCTCTTGCAAAGAGAAAATCAAACTTGAGTGAATAATTTCTCATTAACTAATCCATTTCATCATGACATAATGTTCTTTTCATGAGCTTTTCGTTTTATTATTATTTCTCAATCTGTTGTTTATTTCAATAACTTTAATAACGCATGAATATTCTCATACCAGATATGAATCTGTCTGATTATTCATGTTATTTCATTGTAAATCTAAATAAAATATATTTATATTTATATGAGATGCACTGTAATGTTTATAGCAAAGAATGAAATAAATATTTTTATCATTATTATTATTAGAGTTGAAATATCTTTAGTTAGTGATAAAACGCCCTGTATATTCCAGGTTGCTAGGTTGATAGTTCCTCCCCCCGTATTATTATTTTTGCTAAAAAGTCCCATGGTGAAAAACTATGATTTGTCCTGTATCAAAGAAATGCGAAGCGGAGCAGCTCCGATGGGCAAAGATATGGAAAAAGAACTAAAAAGCAGGTAAGAAAATCAGTATTTACTGAGAATTCTTGAGGAGGAAAAATTGCTCGAATGACAGCTTGTATTATTTCCTAAAATTATTTACGGGTCAAGAACAATAGACTACTGAACTGTTTTTGGATTTTTCACATTCAACAATGAACCTTTCCAGTCATTTCTAGAAAAAATATATCTCGAAAAATATGGCTCTAGAATGCATTGAAATATTTTTTTCTGTGACGGGAAAAAAGTTTGGCATTTCATCTCTGTTGGCAGGTTATAAAATGTCACTTTTCATAAATTACTTTTTTCCCGTCGGAAAAAAGTGAGTACTTTTTTCCCCGGATATATATTACATATACAGTGTCATTCATAAAGTCGGCATCATATGGGAAAAACTTTTATTAATGACTTATTTTGGAATTCGAGTTCGACGTTAAGTTTTGCTTCAAAAAAGATGGAAAACGGCCTACTCAATCGGGGTCACGTAACTTTCGCTACATGTCAGAAGTGACATTTTTTCAAATTAATCGCTGAAAGTAGGCTTATTTGTTCGAATATCGAAAAAGTTTACTTGAAAAAGTTTTTTCTATTCCAATTTTACACATGATTCCCGAATTTGATCTTTCTATTGCAACTTTTAGATTTTGATTTTTTTTTGTTTCGAAATTTCTGTAATATTTGAAGAATTGATAATTCCACGAAACTACTTCATACCAGTAGCTTTTTCATACTAGTTACTTTCAATGACTTATTATCACTGATTATGGACAGAAATATGATTTTCTTCAGAAAATAATAATCCCCGCTTCCAAATTCTGTTATGTTTGATGCAAAGTTGATATATCGTCAAGCATTTAGAAACGAAATTCATTCAAACTGATCTTTTCAGTACTGGAAAAATAAATTCAAATGAATTTCGTTTTTTAATGTTTGACTCAAAAATAACAGAATTTTGATGTTATTTTTGCATCAAACATAACAGAATTTTGAAGCGGAGATTATCATTTTCTGAAGAAAATCATATTTTTGTCGATAATTAGTGATAATTAGTAATTGAAAGTAAGTAGCATGATGAAGCTACTGATGGTATCAAGTAGTTTTATCGAATTTGCAATTTTTTTTAATATTACAGTATCGAAAATTTTTGAAAAATATCGAAATCTAAAAAATGTAATAGAAAAATGAAATCCGAGTCACATATGAAAAATTTAAATAGATACAACTTTTTCGAGTGAACTTTTTCGATATTCGAACAAATAAGCCTACTTTCAGCGATTAATTTGAAAAAATGTCACTTTTGACATGTAGCGAAAGTCACGTGACCCCGATTGAGTAGGCCGTTTTCCATCTTTTTTGAAGCAAAACTTAACGTCGAACTCGAATTCCAAAATAAGTCATTAATAAAAGTTTTTCCCATATGATGCCGACTTTATGAATGACACTGTATACACTGTTGATGGCTTTTGTTGTGCTATAGTTCCGAAAAATGAGTCAATAATACCGTCTCCTAGAAATAACTGCAAGTCCTTTTATCTTTCATTCGACTTCGCGGTTACGTATATTACTAAACAACCAAAAAAATTCGCAATTTTTTGAAATCAAATGACAGAGTTAGACTGACAGAAGTGACATCAGATATTTGATTACTTCAAAAGAATGATAAAGATGACTACAACGCAGTTGTCCCTATACTGTTGAAAATTTAAAATTTCACGTCGATAATTTTCAGATTTCAAAATAATGTAATATCTTCTCAATATTGATTCGTCCTTTCAACACAACCTGGAGCTAAAATCTACTACTTTTTTCCCTTGTAAAATAAATAACTATTTTGATATTTTTTTTTGTATCAATTTATCGTACAAAAAATTATTGAACGATCAGACATGGCTGTGAAACGTGTGACGTCAGTGCACGAGCAATTCGGATTGGTAATGCCCACACCTTCTCGCGGGTGCCAATAATAGTTATTTAACCAACTAGTGTATTAATGAGGGCGATTAATGATCGAGATATTTTAACGTGCGAGCGAAGCTAGTGCGTTAATGTTCGAGATCATTAATAGCCTTTTAATATACAAGTTGGTTACAAAATTTTTCCGTCGACTATATTTCTCATTTCTCGTGCAATGAAGAAAACTTGGTTCGCGAATTCATCATTCATCTGGAAACTGCTAAGAATCACCCAGTAGCCTTGTCACTGACATTAGTTACATTTGACATTTGTCGAAATGATCAACATAGAAAATAAATTCCTTGTGTTGGAAAACAGGGATTAAGATCGTGTTAGAAACTTGGAAAGGCGAACCCGTTAACGGAAAATCTTCGATGAAATCCATATTTTCGATTTAAATGCAGATTCCGTAAGTTATAGCATAAACAATGAATGCACGCGGTGTATGTTTGGTTGCCTATAAAACTATCGTGCATTAATAGACAAATCGTTAATTAATAGGGGGTCATTAATAAACGATTTCATATACATTAAACTTAGTCTTGATACGAGGTCGACGGAAAGAATAATAAAATGCACAATGGACTTGACAATGATGCCAATTTGGACAGAAAGCTATGATCAGTCAGATATTCATTCCTCGATTTTTTCATTTCAGCAAATGATATAGACGCTGTTAGATAACTCAATAATATACCTACCTACCCGAAAGTTCCAGGTAGTGAAAATTGCATTGCAAGATTAGTTAAATGGTAGATGTTTGTTGATGGATTATTGAAAATTGTAAATGAAATTTCATTTCATTTCATTTGTATTGAATTAAAGTGCAGATATTCATAACATTCAGGTTCAGATCCTTTCCAATAAAGTATTTTCAAGTTTAGGTACTCACCTATATGTATATACGTACCTACCTATCATAGGGAAACGAACAAATTTTGAATCAATCGATAATAAATTGCTCACTTTGTTCTATTTTCTATTGATTTTACTAGAAACATGCCTTCTTGTCAATAATATTGAGAAATGAGAACTGTGAAGGTTTGCGGAGAATGAGATATTTTCACTTGGCAACATTGTGTTAGCGCGAGTTGCTTCATCTCTTTCTCTTGTAAACATAGTTGCCACATCAGCAATTGAATTTTCCGGGAATGACTACTTGAGATATAGTAACACTGCTTAATTTGTTAATTATAATAATTACTCAACTAAATCATAACATCAAAACTCAAACCAAACAATAGAATCGAGGTTTCTTGCAATAATTTAGTTGAAGAACCTGCGATTTCTACATCACTGCTCAATTTGAAGAAATATATGATCTTACTTACCGTCGAAATACCAATTTGGGGTTTGAATGGTGAACTTTTTCACAATCCACGCACTGGCGAACCATAATAGACTTTAATAATCGTCTTCACATAGTTTTATATCAAGAAATACTGAAAATCAATAGAAATACAAAAAGTCCTAAAATGGTAACAAACAGCACAACAACACTGTAACGTCGGATTTTGACATACGTGAATGATTTTTAAAAAAATATGCGTTACTCATAGTTAACATGCCAATGCAGCCTTATTCCCATTCAAATTCAAAAAATGGGAATTATAAAAATGATGATGATGATTTGTTGCAGGTTTAGAGTGAAACACGTTTCCCAAGGTTACGGCATGACCGAAACGACACTAGGAGTGCTCGTTTCACCTCACGGTAAAAGTAAAATCGGATCGTGCGGTAAAATTGTTCCCGGAATGATGGCAAAGGTAAATATTGAATTACACAATGGTTATCTATACTAATATTATGAAGAGAAGAGATTTGATTGTTTTTTTGTTTGTTTGTTCGAATTGAATATTCTGAAATTTCAGAACCGTATTATGACCCCTAAAAAAGTTCTGAAAAAATATCAGGAGGTGAGGGTGGTTTCAACCCTTCTACAATTTCTTTTAGGTTTCTTCGATTACCAAAAGAAAAGTGATCCTCTGAAATACACTATTGCCAAATTTTATCAAATTCGTTTCAATTATTTCTGAACAGCGTACAAAAATGTGTTTTTTTTATGTGAACTTTGAACCCTTTTCACGAACAAACGGTACATTTTGGCACATAAATAAATTGGGTCCAATCAACTTATTTTGACCCTCTCTACACGTGATAGCTCTGTGTCCTAGCAATTTTGGGACACCCTGTATAAAATATATCTTTGAAGAATATCAATCTTCTGGCAATGATTCCGCAGAGTTATCTCCACTATTCGCGACTTTCTTCAGTTATTCGTTTTTGGCGATTAGGATTGTTGTTCAGTGCAATGAGGTCAATATAAACAACTGGAAGGGAGACGGCCGTTCTCCCGAATAACACAAAGTGTGTCAGGGGCAGCTGCAACAAAGATAGCATGATTTACGGTAACCTGTCTCTTTTCTACTCGTGTTGTTCAATGGTGGATTGGTGTTTACGTTTTCTTTTATCTAATGATTGAAGTTCTTTAGATTTTTTTCTCTCATATAAACAGGCAAGAAAGTGAAGACATGAGTTCATTGTCTTTGTTTATGTGAAATATCTATTCATTTGGCGTGTTTTGTTTTATAAAAAGGACTGAATTTGTTGGTGTGAACACTGTGAACTGATTGTTGAGAAGGTTTTGAAGAACAATGGTGATTTATTGTGTCGCCTTTGGATGCAAGAATGAGCAAGACAAAAGGAAATTGTCATTCCATGGGTAAGTTGAATATTGTTCAGATTTTTTGAAAATATAGTTCTTGAACGGATCATCAGTTAGGTGTACAATGTTTGGCTCAGAATATGTTCAAAAACTATACCTATATTATTTGTCAAAGTTGAATACTTCCATGACTTTTCCATAAACATATCAAGTAATATTATTTGTTGCAGTTTTCTATTCAGACATTTTTGATTCATGGATTAAGGCAGTTCGTAGAGAGAGTTGGACTCCATCTAAAACCAGCAAGCTTTGTGGAGAGCATTTCCTGCCAAGTGATTATTTATTTATTTAGACATACCAGGTACTGCTCGGTTATTGAAACCAGATGCTGTACCCAGTATATTTCCATTTCCTAAGCATTTGTTACCAAAAAATACTGATCCTTCAAGGAAAATAAGAAAACTCATAGGTACCTAGTTGATTAATAATGAAAAAAAAAAGTATGTTTGCACCTCTTTAAAATCAAAAACTAGCAAGTAATTTATTTTCAGGATGCATCTGTGGAAGTTCATAACATTGGGTCCTTTGGAAGATGTTTCTCATATTATAGACCTAATGGTAAAATAGGAACCTATGGAAATTATGCTAAAAATGGACCTTAAGTAGTCATTACCATTCAAGACCCTCTTTTCAAATTTTTCCTATCGTTTTTCTTTTTCTTCTGATAGTGCTAAGACATTGTGCTTCACTCACCCTGTATAATATATTGTGACATTCGAATGAAAATATATAATTTCAATTTTGTATTCATTTGACTTCCTGATCCTGTAAGAATAAAAATGAAATTTCATTTCTAGGTCAATAAAAAAATCAATAATGATTTTTTAATGATAATTGATTGCAACATTTTCCTTTTTACTATATGAATATTTTTATTTAATCATGTTCACCGTTAAATAAAAGTAAAAAACGAGAACATATTTCAAATCTTCCCTTCCACTTGTTTATATTGAGTTCATTGGTTCAGTCTGAGAAAAAAACAGGTAATTTCGCACTTATCACGCGATGGTTTTTTTTTTCGAAAAATTTTTTTGGTACTTACGTATTTTTGTCTGAAAAACACGAATTTGATAATGAAAATTTGAACAAACCACTATTTATCGAGATATTTCAAGAAAAAGTTCGAAATTTTGCCTTCTTTTCCCCCTTGTATTGGATGCATTTACATTTACATGCTCTTTTTATTTTGTCATTGGACACTTTATATCCTCATGATGTACTTCAATAACACATTTTAAGATAGAAAATTCAACAGGAAATATGATTTTTATGGCGAGTTTTCTCTATTTAGTGAGCAAGCATACCAGATGACGGCCATTTAATCCATTGGCAATCCAATTTTTTTTTATCGCTTGGAGCGCACGAAAGGGAATCCCTTTAATGTTCAAAGAACATCGCGCGTTCCTAGGGAGGATAGGGACAGGAGGTAGGTATTGGATTTTTTTTGAACTTCTGGAGATTATATGTCGTTGGGACTACTTCCTCAGGCAATGAATTCCAGAGCCTAGCCGTTCTATGGATGAAGGAGTTTTGATAAAGTGCTGTTCGACATCTTTCGTTGTTGACAACGAAAGGATGTGCTGACTGGGCTTGTCTAGTTCGTCTGACTGGTATTGCTAGTGAAGGGATGATAGCAGAGATTTCTGAAGAACATTTCCCGTGGAAGTATCGATAGAAAAGTGAAAGGTCGCCGACCTTTCTACGGTGTTCCAATGATGTCAAAGAGTGAGTGAGTGTGGCGTCAGCCACCAGGCAAATGGCTCTTCTCTGGATGGAATCTAAGAGCACCAGCGTATGTTTTGGTGCTGAACCCCATATGTTGGAACAGTATTCTAGAACAGGCCGTATCTGCGCTTTGTAGATCATGAGAAGCTGTTGAGGTGTAAAGTAGCTTTTCGCACGGAACAAGAATCCGAGTTTTTGTGAAGCAGCGTTTGCGATGGATCTGACATGACCCATGATACCAGATACCAAATGTCAATAGATTGCTTTGGAATGACATTACACACGCCATTATTTCAAATGATATTCTTCCTTATTTTCACTAAACATGAATAAATCACAAGAAAATCATATTTCTAGTAGACTCATATAATAAAAAAAATGTGTCCAACATTGTGTTTTATATACAGTGTGTCCCACTTACCATGCTCACCATGGGTATCTTTTTAACGGTGAGAGATACGAGGTCAGTTAAATGACACCAAATGTGGAGTCTGTCAAGGCCAACTGTAATGTGAAAAAATATTCGTTTTTGTTTTATACGCAAAAAACAGATTTCGATCATTTCCATGTCTCATCCTTAACTTCTTTATTTATGAAAATATTCAAATAGGAATTTCACACATAGATAGATAGATAGATCTTTATTTAACTACGTGATGTATAAAACATTTGTAGCAAGTCAGGTAGCAAGTAGATACAAAAAGTACTGTACAATATTCACGAAATAAATAAAATAACAATGATAGTAAAATAAAATAATATGTGTACATTACAACATACCATAATGTATTGTCACCGAAATTATGAACACCAGCCCAATTTCAAGTTAATCGGAGTTATGGAATTTTTATTGAAATTAAAAAAAATTGCTGCCCCAAGATGGCGGACAAGATTTGGTCCGATTCCATTCAAAATTGGTAAGTGGGGGTTCATGAGGTCGGAGATCATGATTTTTTTGTTTAAATTTTTAAATTCAAGATGACGGCTTCCAAATAATTTTTTGTTTTTGTATAAATTACGATAACTCCGTTGTTATCAACACAAAACTATTACTGCGACATATCATCTGTAAGAGAAAAAAAAGTTATTTGTAACTAAGTCATAGTGAGCTATGACCTACGTTTGAAAAACTGAAGTTGGTGCTGATATCTCAAATTCTAGAAGAGTTGGTATAATTTTCATATTTTTTTCGAAATCACTTTGAAAAACTGCCATGAGGGTGTGAAATTCCTATTTAAATATTTTCATAAATAAAGAAGTTACGCAGGAGACATGGAAATGATCGAAATCTGTTTTTTGCGTATAAAACAAAAACGAATAGATTTTATTTACATTATAGTTGGCATTGACAAACTCCACATTTGGTGTCATTTAACCGACCTCGTATCTCTCACCGTTAAAAAGATACCCATGGTGAGCATGGTAAGTGGGACACACTGTGTATATAAATTGTCCAATGATGGAAAAAGAAGGGCAAATTGTTCTAAATGCGATCCAGAAGACAGGTGGAAAAGAAGATGAAATTTGTAACTTTATAGTGAAATAATTATCTTGATGAATACTGGTTTGTTCACATTTTCATTATCAAATTCGTGTTTTTCAGACAAAAATACGTCAATACCAAAAAAAAATTATCGAAAAAAAACCATTGCATGATAAGTGTAAAATTACCAAAAAAACATCCAAGATAGATTTTCAGTACGAACTCGTTTCAAGGTCATAGACGAAGCCGGCAACCCTCTACCCGCGTACAAAGAGGGCGAGGTCTGCTTCAAGGGCCCGCTGATCATGAAAGGTTACGTCGGCGATGCCAAATCCACCCTAAACACAATCGATAAGGACGGGTGGTTGCATACGGGCGACGTTGCCTACTACGATGATGACGGGTACTTTTTCATCGTCGACAGGATCAAGGAGCTGATCAAGTACAAAGCTTTCCAGGTACGTATGGACAAAGTATATAATTGAGATGATATGAAACGAGTTTGATCATTTTCTACTTTATGGAATATCTTTACGCTCCGAGTGCGATTTTTAAGGTAAGAGTCAAACCATTCATGAATATTTCCTCTGATGACCAAATTGTAGAGTTTTTTCAATAAAAGATCATGTTGAACACAGTCAAATGCTCGACCCATATCACAAAACACTGAGACAGAAAGTTGATTTTTCTTGTTGGGCTGTGTTCGAAATTGATTTTGAACCGTATTCAAACGTGACGTAGTTATCTATCTCATTCAAGAAATCAGACCATTTTGAAACGAAAGCTGTCAAAATTCTCATCCACACGATGCTCTGTGTCCCAGCAATTTTGGGACGCCCTGTATATCGAAGATTAGAACGTTTGACACGATAATTCAATGCACTGTCTTACCACTAGCCTGTTCGGTTGGTGGTGAAACTGTGTAGTGAATATACATTATATCATCTTTCCATAGTTTTAGATATCAGGCATATTATTTGTATTTATTATGTAAATTTGTTACATGATCATGTTCAAGTTTTCAACTCATTTGATCATGTTCAACTTTTCAACTCATTTGATCATGTTTTCATTGAAAAAAAATATTACTATTATACAGGGTGATTCAGGTTCTAAGGTACAAACTGAAATGGGTAAAAGATCTCATCATTTTAATGAAAATAATCTTTGGAAGAAGTCCATGGTAACTCAAAGTGGAGTGGTGTAATTCATAGATGAAAACCCAAAGTCATCTCCACAACTTTTATTTAATGATCATAGATAATATAAGGGAACATGTTTCGGGCTTATATAAGCCCATCATCAGTCAAGAAAATGTAAAGTTCTGAAAAAGGACAGATTTGACCTATGGTATGATACAATAATATTTTACTTACATGGAAGTGAAAAATGTTGCAATGTGTATACAATAAGCAATAACGGAGCAAGCAAAAGCCATTGCTCCATGATCTGGAAAAGGAACAGTGAAAATTTTTGAAGAAATATCAATATGAGCGAAACTTACTGTTTATATGATAAAAATGTTTTTTTTAAATTTTTATAAAGTTGAAGGTTTGGGGGTCGGGAACATATTTAATAAGGGCCCACGGTACCCTTAAATCACCGATAAGTGGTAATTAAACTTGAAAATATCAATCTTTTATAATAAGAAAGATGTGGCTTCGGAAATAACCAAGAAAAGAATCACATGTGCGGAAACACTGAACAGTAAAATATTTTTTTTGCTGTCAACTGTCATGTCATCCAGATCATGGAACAACTAGTTGCATGAAAATAGTTTATATATTATATCCTATTTCGATCAGTAGTAGAGCTACGATAAGTTGTCAAAATTTAAGTATTTTTTTAATCAATTTATTTATTTATTTATTTATTTATTTACAAGAAAAGGAATACAAACAGAAAGAAACTTTCCAATACAGTATTCACAAATTGAATTATGGTATATCAATTGAGTTAGATAAACTACAATATTTGATGAAATTACTTCCATATTAATCCGAAATTGAACGAGAGAGTCAGTAGTAAAAATAGTTCAAAGAGTAGATAGAGTTTGGTAAATAATGGTAGACATACATTAAAATGTGAGTATATAGTCAGACACGTGATTTTGATAGTGATTCCATTGAATTGAAAATATTGAAAAGAAAAGAAAAGACAAGAAAAAAATAATAATAGAAAAAAAAAAAAACATTACATTACAACTAATGACATAATTTTCGTCTTTCAGCGACGATGAATAAAATAGGTTTTAAGTTTGTTTTTCAGAGCAGCGACTGAGCGAATGTTGAAAATATCGAAATCGAAATCGGAACAGTGCTTATTATATGTCTCTAACATACGATTTACTGGGAGATTTTTTGCTACATTTGTACGGGAGAAAGATAGTTCGAAAACGTTGTTCTGCCTGAGTTGTCTGCTAGGAATGTGAAAATTGACGTAGGAAAGAATATCCGAGCTATCAACTAAATTGTTTAATAATTTATATAGAAATACTATTTCTGTAACTTTCCTACGGTCATGTAACGACAACATTTTAAAATGATTTCTAATAGATGCATATGCATTCACTGGACAGGAAAAGGAAGCGGCAAATTTGAGTCTCATAAATCTCAGGAACCTATTTTGTATGTTTTCTAGGCGACTGATGTAGCATACGTAGCAAGGATTCCAGATAACTGACGCAAATTGAAGTTTGCTGTAAACGTAAGCGTAATATACAGTTAGTATTGGTTTAACATTTCTAATTACAAAGCCTAAAATGCGGTTGGACTTATTGATCAGGTTATTAAAATGGGATTGAAATGTCCATTTTTTGTCCAAGATCACACCCAAATCTCTTATTTCGTCTACTTTTGCAATTACAACATTGTCAATATTGTATGAGTGTTCAATCTCATGTTTATTTTTAGTGAATGATATAGAAAAACATTTTTTTAAATTGATAATTATTTTGTGATTTTGGCAAAAAGTGTTGAGGCGGTTCAGATCTTCCTGAATTTTGTTGCAATCATTGATTGAGGTTACTCTTTTAAATATCTTCAGATCGTCTGCGTAAAGTAGGTATCTGCAAAATTTGAAGCAACTACTGATTTGATTAATATATATATTAAACATTAGGGGCCCGAGGTGGCTTCCTTGTGGAACTCCTGATGTGACATTGAAGGCCGTAGATTTATTTCCCTGTACAGTTACTATCTGTGATCTATTTGTGATGTAGGATTGAATCCATCTCAAAATGTCACCAGGGATACCCATTCCAGCTAGCTTAGTCAACAAAATTGCGTGGTCGATCTTGTCAAACGCCTTGCTAAAATCGGTATAAACCACATCTACCTGCTCCCGGATGTCCATTGACCTTCCCACATACTCAGCTAGTGATATCAAGTTAGTATCTATAGATCTGTTGGGATAAAAACCATGCTGTTCTGGAAATATAGTATTTTTCGCATAACTAAATAAGATTTTGTGCACATATAGTTCTAGCATATTGGAGAAAATGCTCAATTTGCTTACGGGTCGATAATTGTCTATCAGGTTCCTCAAACCATTTTTATAAATTGGAACTACATGTGCCACTTTCCATAACTTTGGAAATAATCCGATATTAAGTGATTTGTTGAAGATCAGTCGCAAAGGTTTGACTAAAGATTCCTTACATTGTTTTATAAAATATGGTGAAATACCATCTGGTCCTGCGCCCTTATTTATATCTAATCCCTGTATAAGCTCTCTTATGTTTTCGTCATTGAAATGTTCTGTGTCAGTTATGTTGTCCACAAATAGATTGATAGGCATCACCGATTGATTTTTATCATAAACACTGTTGAAATATTTGGCGAACATGTTGCAAATTTCTACCCCACCACTAGCGTCGTTGTTATCGTGAGACATAGTAGACGGTATATAATTATTATTACTTCTTTTATTTGATATAAATTTCCAAAATACTTTGCTGTTACCACTGATTCCTGTTTCGATACTTTTAACATAATTCTCGTAGTCTTTCCTTATAGAAGCTTTAGATTTTCTTCTTAGTTCGCTAAATAAATTGTAATCATTTGGATTATTATATTTTTTCCACCTAAGATGCACACTTAACTTTTCTTTTATTAATTTCAGAGTTGAGTTTGAGAAATAGTGAGGAAACTTTGAACTAGTACGTTTGAATATAGGTACATATTTTTTTATTACACTATATAACTTTTCGTAGAAGATATCAACAATTTCGTCTAGATTCATTTTATGTTGAGAAATTGAAATATCTTGCTCACTTCTAGAGATATCATTTTTGAATTGGGTGTGGGTGGTCAATACTTTGTAGAAGATCATCATTTGAAGCATCTTGAAGATTTTCAAAATTTACAGGGTGATACGTTTTTGGGGGTAGAGCTAGGCTTCTATCCCCCCCCCCTCAAACATTTTCATAGTACGCCGACATCTGCCAGTTACCAAATAGGGTGGATCGTTCAATTTGAAGGCTTTTTTTTGCTCCTCATTTCTGTTCCAGAAACCAACTGTTTTCGAGATGAATAAGCATATCCGTTCTATAACATGTCGGATTTTGCCCTGTTTCGCTCGAATATTATTCTTGGACAAAATTCGTTTAAAATGCAATGAAATCTACTAAAATTGCAGTGTTTTTAAGCATGTGTTCAATCTGGATCAGGAGCGGGGATACAGGGGGTAGAATGTCAGGTTGCTTTTAACCGACCAATAAATACACCGACGCGGAAAATTATCATTAAAAAAACTGAAAAATAATATATCATTCGACTTGTCGGAAAAAATTTACGGTGCACAAAGGACTTTAGGTAATAAATAATTAAGCCACATATGTGAATTATGGTAGGCAAAAAAGCCTCCAAATTAAACGATCCCATCCTATTTGGTAACTGGGAGATGTCAGAGGCGTACTACAATAAAGTTTGGGGGGGGATAAACAAGCTCCTACCTCCAAAAACGTATCCCCATGTATATTTTGAAAACCTTCAAAATGATTAAAATGATGATTCTATAGAAAGTATAAACTACACAAAATTTCAAATTGATATCTTCAAAAGTGAGCGAGATATTTCAGTTAACAGAAAAAATAATTGAAATTTCACCCTCTGTAGCTCCGCTACTGATCGAGATCGGACTCATTATTATGTGTACTTTTTCAATTAAAATGATGAGATCTATCACCCAATTGGGAAGTTTCCTATATTGAGGTTCTTATCTCATTGTGAAGTTGGTAAAAAAATAATGTATATGTATTTTTTGTTTTCGTAAGATCAAATTTAACTTAGGAGGAAAAAATAAATAAAAGAGGAACTTGACTCCTCCACCATTCCTATGACGTACTTTCTGAAAATCCACATTCACACTGAGTTAAAATACGATTCCCTGTGCCAGTATGACGTTGCCGACATCATATGTCTAGATTTCCGGAAATTGTTCTTTGAATGCATAATAACTATACCATAACAGCAATGGGATATAATAGGTTGTTCAATCCTACTTTGTCAAGTATCATGAATGATTCCCATAAATCTCATTGGCTGAATGAAGTTGATTCTTCTTCTTCTTCTTCTTCTTCTTCTTCTTCTTCTTCTTCTTCTTCTTCGAAGCACTGGTGGGCGGGTGAACCCCCTGCACGTGGGCCTCCTTATTCGGGCCCATTGTGCGCCCACATGTTACAACATTCAGCTGGGTATGCCGACTGCCTTGGAGAAGTTCAGCAGCTTCCTCAGCTGAATCTCTTTTACGTCCTCTGGCCTCAAGATTATGTTGCCAAGGACAGCCTTCCTCTGATGCGTCAGTGCTGGACACTCAGTGAGGACATGTGATGACGTTTCGTCATCTTCCAGGCACCATCTGCCAAGTGGGTCATCCTTGATCCCAATAAGCTCTAGGTGCCTATTGAGGTGGTTGTGCCCCGTTAGGAGCCCCACTACCATTTCAAGGTTTTGCCTATTTAGGAATAAAACCTCTTTTGCGAGCCACTTCGAAGGTTCCTTTATGTGGAGCTTCGATTGTCTCATTCCTGGTGTGTTCTGCCATATTTTGAGGAATTTCTTCTGCAGCTGTTCCTCTATAGAGGACATTGCCAGGCTATTTGGTATTCCCAAGATTGGTTCCGGTCCGACCGGGGTCCGTCCTGAACCGATCTTTGCCAGTCTGTCTGCCTCCTCGTTTCCGGGTATTCCCGAATGTCCCGGAACCCACATGAGGCTGACTTTTCTTGATTTTGCCAGGTTTTCCAAGGCTTTTCTGCACTCGGACACCAAATTGGATGTGATCCTATTGGATTGCAAAGCCAGTATTGCAGCTTTGCTGTCCGAGCATATAGTGATTGGTCTATGACCTCTCATAATTAGGTTTTCTTGGACACAGGTGAGTATTGCAAGTACTTCTGCCTGGAACACTGAGGCATATTCGCCCAAAGGAACTGAAATTTCTTTCCCTGTTCCTTCATTGTATACCCCTGCACCTGAACCGCCCCCAAATGAAGTTGATTACTAATCAAGATAAATTATGATATTTTGCGATAGTATCTATAATTTTTCACTATCGTTATATTACAATCGGCTTAATTCTGTTCTAATTGATTCAATGATATTTTTGTTCTGGATCGAGCTCTATTCTTGATATTTCAATGCATGAAAAACAAAACTATAACCTGTCAGAATGAAGCCAACTACTCTCTGCATTCCTGTTCCGAGTGCATTTGTGGTTATGTATGTTTTTGTATACCAGTTTTACTTCTTCTATTTTTTTTCATTCGTTCTCCATTCGTTAGCTATATTCTTCACCATCTGCTATTTTCAGACTATGTATTCACGTCACAGTTTGACGAAATTGCTTTAATTTGAAAATGAAAACGACTTGGACATAAAACTGGAGAGCTCCGAACTTATTTTATGAAAATTCATCTGAAGGAAACTTCCCCTATCAGTTTGTACAGGGTGATTCACCATAAATGCCCCCTCCCCTCTAGCTCAGTTATTTTTGAACCGATTGCAAAATCTCAAATATCATCTTCAATGATTTTCGATAATGTTTTTTTCCTCTACATCAGAAAATACAAGGTGCTCGGAACAAACAATCTACAGGGTACTATTTGATTTTTCTAAATGGAACACCCTATTTTTCATTATATTTTTAGATTCTCTTTGAAGAGCTGATTTCATCAATGTATCAATCTTGGGGTCTAGCGAAAATGATTACAGAGATATAAGGTGTTCAAAATCGAGATTTTTCAACTTTAGGACTTTTCTGTGACGAAACTATTCATTACCGGTCAAAATGGCTTTCATGTCCGTGTCTCAACTTTCGATTTACTATCTACTGATATTTAATAATTGGAACAGATACAGGGTGATCAGAATTCTGAATCTTGAACGACACTGTAGATGTTCCAATTATATGTCAGTAGATAGTAAATCAAAAGTTAAGATAGGGCCATTGAAGCCATTTTGACCAATAATGAATAGTTTCGACACAAAAAAATACCAAAGTTGAAATAGCTCGATTTTGAACACCCTATATCTCTGTGATCATTCCCGCTAGACCCCAAGTGTGATGTATTGATGAAATCAGCTCTTCAGGGAGAATCTAAAAATACAATGAAATACAGGGTGTTCCATTTGAAAAAATCAAGTAGTACTCTGTAGATTGTTTGTTCCGAGCACCTTGTATTTTCTGATGAAGCGGAAAAAAACTTCATCGAAAATCATTGAAGATGGTATTTGAAATTTTGCAATCGGTTCAAAAATAACTGAGCTAGAGGGGGGGGGGCATTTATGGTGAATCACCCTGTACCTTAAAACCTGAATCACCGTGTATGCTGAAATTATATATTGAAAATAAAAAAAATAAATAAATAAACATCTCGAAATTTCGATTTTTTTTTGTTATAATTTATTAGGTAGCCCCTGCAGAATTGGAAGCATTGCTGCTGACCCATCCTGCCGTTCAAGATTCAGCAGTTATAGGCCTGCCAAATGAGGAGGCTGGAGAGTTGCCTTTGGCTTTCATCGTGAAAAAATCCGGGAGAAACATAACGGAAAGGGAAATCGAACGATTCGTTGAAGGTATTTAAATATATGTATGCTCGTCGAAATTTGGAAAACAGTTTCTATGAACAATAAGATAGTTATTTTTCATCTAGGGTGCGAAATGCTACTCAGGTGATCTAGAACTAAACTTTCAACAAGGCGCAGACAAGTTGAAGAAAAAAGTCGAGATTATCAAACTATTTCGCGCATTCGAATTATCTATAAACTTTTTGCAATAAAATGTGTAAACAATTAGATCAAAATTATGGGAGAGTCAAATTTATCGGCGTTTTATACGATTTCAAAGTATTAACAATCAAAAATATTGATTGAAAATACACCAAGTACGATTTGATTAATTTCATTTTTCATCAAGGTGAACCCATTGAAGCAAAAATGTCTTGAGAAAAAAACCGAGCTTTGATTGACGTTGCCTAAATTTACATTCTTACAAATTAAAGGACCCCGCACGAAAACACGGGAAATTGGCTCTCGGTCGAATTGGCTGGAATTTTACTATGTTGTTGTGGGATGGCTCATTAGAAAAATATGTGAGTTTGAAAAGTTTTGTATGTTTAGTTTCTGAGATATAAGCCGACAAAGTTCGTAAAAACGTCGTATCCGGGTGGAATTGACAAAGAAAAAAACTGTTTTTTTAGTATAAATGAAACAAAATAAGCTAGAAAATGTATTGATCGGAACTCATAAACATGTCTAGTTATGATCACATAAATTTTAGTAAATCACGGTGAAAAAAATGATTTTTCGAAAAAAAAATTCGACCACTTTTCCAAAACTAACAAGTTATATTTTGGTAGGGCATTATAATTTAAGTCTATTGTAGGCTTCGAAAACGTATTTTGATTCTTGATAACTATCCCTGTTCGAAATATGAATTGTTGAAATTTTGTGTTATACCCCTTTCTGAAAACAATTGAAAGCTTGTTTTTGATCACAAAGAAAGGCATTGATTGATACTGTTGATTGAATAAAAGCTGAGGTAACTCACTAGCGAATTCAGTTGTTCAATATTGCCTTCCATTTAGATACAGGGTGTGTTAGATTTTGTTGAAGATTATTCAACATGTTTTAATTGAATATCTAGAAAACAGTTCCGTCAATTTGGATCTCATTTTACTCACACCATCTTGAATAAAATGTTGACTATCATATGCAAACAGTTTTTCAATTTTTTATGTTTTGTTTCTGAGATATCAATCTTTGAGTTGACAGTTGACAGTATTACAGGTATTATAGGGATCCATATCTCAGAAACAAAACATAAAAAATTGAAAAACTTTTTGCATATTTATGATAGTCAACATATTAAAAATAGTGTGAGTGAAATGAGATCCAAATTAACGGAACTGTTTTCTAGATATTCAATTGAAACATGTTGAATAATCTTCAACAACATCTAACACACCCTGTATCTAAATTGTAATTGTAATTGTAATTGTAATTTATTTACCATTAGCATTACATAATAAATCACAATGCATTTTGTTTATCCTATGAGAATATGCAAAAGGTAAATAAACAAGGAAAACTCACAAAAGGATAGATAACCCTTGTGCGTGAGATGCTCGTTTTTCTTCCTTCTACACCTTGTAGATGTTATAAGGAAATATGGAACTCACAGTTATTCATGGATAAAAAAGATAAAATGATGTAAAACAATAATAATAAAATTCTTAAAAATAATTGTTCTTAAATGACTAGGACATTGAGTGAATAGTAAGTATATAATAAATAATGTATAAAATCAATGATAAGAGATAACAATAACAATGAATAACAATATTGAACAACTGAATTCGCTTGTGAGTTACTTCAGCTTTCATTCAATCAACAGCATCAATCAATCCCTTTTTTTGTGATCAAAAACAAAAATTGATTACCAAAAGGGGTATAACACAATATTCAAAGAATTCATATTTCGAACAGAGGTAGTTATAAAGAATGAAAATACGTTTTCGAAGCCTACAATAGACTAAAACTATGATGTCTCGCCAAAATTTAACTTGTTGGTTTTGGAATAGTGCTCGAATTTGTTTTTCGAAAAAAGAATTTTTTGACCGTGCCTCGTATACACCCTGATTTACTATAATTAATGTGATCATAACTAGACATGTATTTGAGTTCCTATCAATACATTTTCTAACTTATTTTGTCCTATTTATACTAAAAAAACAGTTTTTTTCTTTGTCAATCCTACCCCGATACGACGTTTTTACGAACTTTGTCGGCTTACATCTCAGAAATTCAACATACAAAACTTTTCAAACTCACATATTTTTCTAATGAGCCATCCCACAACAACATAGTAAAATTTCAGCCAATTCGACCGAGAGCCAATTTCCCGTGTTTTCCTTTTATTCTTTTAATCATCTCATTCGATTTTATATTATCAGAAATCTGATATGAAAACTGTTGATTCGTCATATGGATCGCCCTTGACTCGTCAGAATGCAAAAAAATAGCAACTATCTAACAACTTTTTTGAATTTTCAATGGTTTTCAGATAATGTTTCGCCTCAGAAAAGGCTGAGAGGTGGCGTGATATTTCTGAGTGAAATACCTAGGAATCCAACAGGAAAGATACTCAGAAGAGTGCTGAGAGAGAGGGCAGTGAAACTGGTATCAAAATTGTAGTTTTCATTTTTGTGATAATTATTCTTGTTATGACAATGCAATTGTTTTTTATTCATTTGGTGATCAGTATGAATCGGTGTTATGATTTTTTGTGGTTGATGAATTTTAATTAATAATTGATAATATATTTATACTTCTGCTATTGCTTTACTTCATTTCCTAGAGATAAGATTCTTCTTGAGTGGTATACAAATTATTGAATTGTTAATAATTGAAAATAAGATCAAGATTCAATGTTTTGTAGAAGAGCAAGAACAACTATTGGACCCTCCGTTTCTCAAACTAATTTCAAATTATTAGATATTCACAAAAGACTGCATTTGTTAAATTACACCCAATTTGGCAGTATTTGCTGTCAACGAATATCACAACATGTCTGACCTTTCCCATGTGAAATATGGAAAATCCCAAAGGTCTCAGTCTCAATACTACCTCGACTTCATCGTAGATTCAACTTTCAGAATCCCAACAAATATTTCTCTTGGGATTTAGATAGCTAGAAGTCTTTATTGAATCACGGAAAATTATATTTTCTTAGAGGTTCTTTCAATTCAATTTATTGCTTTTTAGAAAAAATACATTAATTTTCAGCAAGAAGTTTGGTTTCAGTGTAGATTTACAGAGAGACTGAGCTCTACTATAACTAAAGACCTTATATTACTAATAAGCCTAACTACATATGTATTTTTTTTCCTTGCTAATCATTGCTAATGAGAAGAAAACATGAGTTATGACAAAATAGGATAGTAATACAAGGGTAAAATGAGAATCACAAGTGAAAGGACAAACAGTGTGAACTATAAACTGCAGTTATTCGTAAGTGATGAATGCGCGCAATTTCAAGATTTCTATAATATAAGAGTAAAGTAAAAGTATCAAGGTTGTTTAATAAAGTACAATTCCGGTGTTTTCCTGCTGTTAATCTAGGACATTCAAAGATTAAAGGCTGGAAGCTAAGAGGCAGATCCAGGTTACAGATGTCGCATTCATTATTGAGATCAATTACATATAAGTTACCGTTATGAGTGACTTTCATATGTCTTTTACTAGCAAGTCTGATTTGGGCAATTATGCGAGTGATATAAATAGGGATTAGCAGTGATGTCGGAGCTTCCAACTATTCCTGGTTTAGATATCTTCAATCCAGAGTCACGTTTCGGGGAGAAGTCTTCATCGCGTGTCCTTTTTCCTATGTGGGAGCACTGATGTGGGAGCCATTGCTGGATTTCAAGGTCACAATTTTCGGGCACCCTCTGATGTATTTTTTGATACCAATGTTGGTTTCCCCTTCATTTTTACGTTTGTTCAGTTCAATATTCAGCTCAGTCAAATATTTTTGCTGAGTGGGAGTTAGATCAGAGTTGATTTTTACATTCGGAAAAACTTGTTTTGGTATTTTGTTTCTTGACTTTAGTACTTTCATTGCTATTTCATTAGAATCTAGGGTAACTTTTATTGGTCGGGGGCCGGCATTTATTTCTTTACCTACAGACAGTATTTAATTTAATGATATCTTAGTTCATTTTTCTCAGGGACAATTGAGCTCAAAATTTTGGTAACATAATTATTTGGTGTCATCCTGGTTTTGTGGAATGCCTTTGAAAATCAGATTTTTCTCTCTCTTGGAGCGTTCAGTTAATTCCTTATGTAGCTCTTCTATATTCTAATTATTGTTGTTTGTTTCAATCTTATCAAGTCGTTTCAGAACAGAATTATTTTCTAGTTGTAATTGGCATATTTTTTTCCCATAGTTAGCTATTTCAGCGGCATGATCGGAAATAAATCCATAAATTTCCGTTATTTGTTTGTTGCATTCCGTTACGGATGAACTCAAAGTAGATTGTTTATCCATTATAGCATTGAAATGCTTCACCGTAAGTGGCGCATCATGATTCTGAGAAGATAGGCATTTATTACATTTCCATCCTGATTCTGATGCGTTTGCGTGTCCCAGAGTGTCTACATTCTGGTGGTGGCCGCACAGTCTATGCGACGGGCGTTTGCAGACTGAACAGATCGAAGTGTCGACCGATTGAACAGGTTTGTCACAGACCCAACACGTAGGCGGGGACATCGCTATATTGTTTTGTTTATATTTAACGAATAGCTCGTGATAATTATTAGTTATTGCTCACTTATTTAATCCACAGCATATTGATGGTAAACAAACTCGACCACTATGAGACCGAATACTGGTCTATGTAACACTTGGACTTTATCAGTTGTTTTCACCACAATGAATTATGTATTATAGTATTATCATGTGAACTAGGTACAGCGGTAGTACGGCCTGAGAGAACGGGAGTAAACGATGTTCACTCTATGACAGCTCGAACCAAACATTTTCTTAGAGGTTCTTACTCTAAAAAAACATATCATATAAAAAAAAAGAATAATTGGAATTTTAGAGTACATTTTGTCAGGTACATTGGTTGCAGTGAATTATTAAAAATAGCCTAATTATTTCACAGAATTTGTCACTTTACTTATCATCACTTTGCTTTCTTAGAAAAATTCTTGAAAAGATTACAAATGTAGCCAGATCAATCAATTCAAAGCGTCTATTTACTCATAGGGTATTTTTTCAGTTTTTTATTAAATAATTTGCTGTTACATTCTTTTATTTCAACAGGCAGTTGATTATACAGTGAGGACCAAAAGTCCGTCGCTCCCCCTGTAACTTCTTTATTCTACATATTACATAAAAATGTTAAATACATAAGTTGTAGGGTTTTATTCGATCTCTTTAATGGTTTGAGTTTCATTCGTACAGAGTGTCTCTAAAAAGCACGGTGACTTAGAAGTTAATTTTTTTAAATGGGACACCCTGTATTTCATTGCATTTTCAGATTCTCTCTGAAGATCTGATTACATCGATGTGTGGGTCTAGCGGAAATGATTACAGAGATATAGGGTGTGAAAAATCGACATTTTTCAACTTTAGGTTTTTTTTTTGTCGAAACTATTCATTATTGGTCAAAACGGCTCACATGTCCCTATCTCAACTTTTGATTAACTATCTACTGATATTTAATTGGGACATATACCGGGTGATCAGGATTCTGAATTCCGCACCACCCTGTATTTGTTTCAATTAAATGTCAGTAGATAGTTGATCAAAAGTTGAGATAGGGACATGTGAGCCGTTTCGACCAATAAGGAATAATTTCGACAAAAAAAATTCCTAAAGTTGAAAAATGTCGATTTTTCACACCCTATATCTCTGTAATCATTTCCGCTAGACCCCAAGTGTGATAAATCGATGTAATCAGATCTTCAGAGAGAATCTGAAAATGCAATGAAATACAGGGTGTCCCATTTAAAAAAATTAACTTAATTAAGTCACCGTGCTTTTTAGAGACACTCTGTATGAATGAAACTAAAACCATTTAAGAGATCGAATGAAACCCTACAACTTATGTATTTAACATTTTTATGTAATATGTAGAATAAAGAAGTTACAGGGGGGGGCGACGGACTTTTGGTCCTCACTGTATATTTGAACACCTTTAAAGCAAATGGATTTTTTATAGGCTTCCATAGATGCATTGGGTAAGAATAACTTCTTGCTATTGCGTGTATTGTATGAATATAAACTTTCACATGTCGTAAATGACAGATTTGAGAATTTTTCACCGTTAATGGTTTGATGAATGTGATTGGATATTTGGAGTTCATACATATTATCTAAACATAAAATATTGAAGTTTTTATAAAGATTAACTGTACTATATCTTTAGGGCAGTGAGTATATATTTTTGATGGCTTTATTTTGGAGTGTCATCACTTGTTTCACCAATTTATTACAGGCTGGAAACCAAATCATTACCAGATATTGAAGGTGGCAGTGTATCAGAGAGTAATACACTGATCTTAGTAAAAATCTTGGAACATACCACGACAGACGCTTCAAGATGCCAATGGGCTTATATCACAAAAAATTTCTATTTTATAATTCGATAGAACTCACCCAAACTAGCTCACCACCGCAAACTGTTTCTTGCTGTGAGCTCCCTACGTTTTATAAAAAATTATTGAAATCCCCGATTTTTCGGACCTCTGAAAACGAGGCGATGATGTGACGTCAAAACCCTAATACTGAAACAAGACTATTCCAGACAGAGATGAATGATACATAATTTCTGACAGAGTGAATCAGCGCGAGATCACAGTTGAAAGAATTAATATATCAGTTGCCTCAGTCTCCGTCGGGCATTTGGTACTTTCTTTTAACTATGGCGAGATGAGGTTTCTGCGTCATAAGAGGGTCCGTTTTCAGAAGGTACTATTATTTATGCCCAAAAATAAAATATTCCCAGTTGATTTTTCGATCGAATTATGTCGTCAACCATTATTTATGTATAAAAGGATCATTATAAACATGGTTTGAGTTGAAAGTTCTACTAAGGTGTACATGCCCATTGGGGCACTAATCTTTTTGGTCAAACAATTTATGTGATTACTCCATGACAGTGTTGAGTCGATGTATAGACCTAGATATTTTATTTCACAGGTATATTTGATTTGGTTAGTGCCAAAGATGAGAGGTTCAGTTGAATTGATTTTATTGTTAGAGACAAACATGAAACGTGACTTCTCGGTATTCAAAGTCAATTTGTGACTCACAAGCCATTGTTCAATTCTCATTGATACTGTCTGTAGGTTAATCGAGGAGGTGGTACATTCATTGTTCCAATTTTTTTGGGATTTTCTCCTCGTTTCTATAAAATAAAAATATGAATGTTATTTCAATATACCTGTAGTAAGGACAAATCAGATAATTTGCCCCAAAATGTCACTGCGTTTGAAGAATTTTCATATCAGAGAGCCTAAAAGAAAAATTCACTAGCTTGTCAGCGACAATTTGTATTGAAAAAGGTTTGGAGAAGAGATATGAATAAGGTATATAGAAAATATATCAAATTTTCACTTAGCTTTGACCGTTTCGGGAACGAATCTGCTCCCGTTTTCAACATAAAAAATTGGTTATTTGAATAGAAAATTCGTATTTGTCTTGAAACTTTTCAGTTCTCAGTGACAATTGGTGACGTTGGCAATCAAATGAGCTTACAGGATGTTTTCAGATTTCAGTAGTGAATACCATGTTCTATCTATATCAACTGAACTGGAAGCAATGCATGGTATTCACTACTGAAATCTGAAAATGGTGAATTCAAGATTGATTAATAAAAACATCCTGTAACTCATTTGATTGCCAACGTCACCAATTGTCACTGAGATAACTAAAAAGTGTCAAGACAAATACGGATTTGCTATTCAAATAACTACTTTTTGTGTTGAAAACGGGGGCAGATTCGTTCCCGAAACGTCCAAATCATTTTCAATACAAATTGTCACTGACAAGCTATTGAATTTTTCTTTTAGGTTCTCTGATAGGAAAATTCTTTAAACGCAGTGACATTTTGAGACAAATCTTCTGATACATACATTGAGAAAATCCCATAAAATCTGGAATAATGAATTCTCATTGATGTTTCTGCTGTTAAAACTATAGAATGGAATTGTTGCGCATAGAAACAACGAATTTTTTCATTTTGAATTCAATGATAGAGCAAGATGTCACAAAAATGTGTATATTTCCTAATAATTTTGAAAATTCTACGACTAAAAATCCCAAAAACCGTCCCCATTTTACGGTATTTACTCTTCTTCCTCTCTATTCCTAGATTGCATGCGTGCTCTTTAACTGTGGATTATCACTCAACTTTGATTCAGACTGGATATTTTTTTCACAGAATCCGTGAAATATGGAGCTATAGAGCACACAAGATGGCTATGACATGAACAAAACAAATCGAAAAACTTTTTGGATACTGCTTCAGGGACCTATAATACCACTGAAAACAAAATCAAAAGGTCGATCTTTGGTATTCCAACAAAAGTTTTTCCTCGTAGTTCAAAGAAAGTGTGATATGAATGCCCAAACGACTCTCCGGGACGCGATTTTACTAAATATACTGCACGCTAGCACAAATCACGCCCACCGTAATACGTCATATCTCCAAACATCACCGATATACTCGGAGTCAGCACATCGGACTAAATATACTGTGCTCCAACGCGAGAATTCACTTTTTATGATTTTGACACGAATTCGACTGAAGCTCTCTCGTTGTCAATCTCTTGAATGCAGTAAATTTATATACCCAAGCAGTCTACTTGTTAGCGCTGTCGACTTTCAGTCTGAAGGTCCATGGTTCGAATCGATGTGAACTTGAACTTTTTTTGCAACTTTTTTTTTCACCAATGTTTTTTTACTTCATTCTGGTTTTCCTTCTTCACAAAATATTTGAAATCAAATAAATAGGTTAGTGCGTTTAGGATAAACAGTCTCATTTTATTCAATTTTGTTGGAGAACTCAACATTTGAAATATATTATTATTCAATGTGTTTTTACACTCCATTCTGGTTTTCCTTCCTCAAAAATATTGCAATCAGAAATAGGTTAGTTCGTTGAGGATAAATGGTCTCTGAGTTTTGCCTAAGTACTTTGAAGATGAGATATTACGGTGGGCGTGGTTTGTGCTAGCATACAGTATACTTAGTAAAATCGCCTCCGGGACATTACAATAGAACTTCAAGAGAAGTTTGACGACTTTGTCATTGAAACCTTCGATTCTACAATTTTCGACTATTATCGTAAAGGTTCGGCTCTTCAGTTCCTTTTGAGATCCTCATACATATTCTTGCTTTGGAGAAAACTATAGTGTTCGAGTTGATAGGTATAAAAAGACCACTCTTCATTTTTAGTTGATCTAGTTTAGAGACAGAGAACATATTATGTCTTCCCGATCTGTCCTCAATTGTCTTCAGTGTTCCAACGTGAAATAGTGAAAATGTCATGTTGGCAACACTGGAAATAAGGAGAAATTGAGAAAATCATATTAACTTCAATATAAAAAAGATTAGTATGGCCTACATAAAATATTTCATTTTTTTACGTTGGAACACCGAAGACAAGGACAGATGTGTAAGACATATTTTTCTCTCAAGGCTAGCTGAACTGCTTCATTCAATGACAGGGCAATACCTATGTCACAACAGTTTGTACATTGTCGACCAATGTTGAAAAACAAGAATGAAAATTCTCAAAAATTTATTGGAATCTCCCTATTCTATGGTATTTTCTCTTCTTCCTCTCTATTATATCACCTACTGATTAACTTTAGATTATTACTCAACTTTGATTTAGACTTGATGTTTATGTTTTTTCACAGAAGCAGTTGAAGAAATGCATCTATATGGAGCTATAGAGCAGACAAGAGCGCTTTGACTTGAAAACAAATTGTAAAACTTTCTGATAAAATCGCTTCAGGGTAACTACCGCTCAAAACATCATAATAAAGTCAATCTTTGGCGTTCGAAATGAAACAACAAAAGTTCCTTCGAACACTATATTGACAGTAATTCAATTACAATTCAAGGAAAATATTCTTTGGCGTATTTTCCTTTATGCCTGGGTAAATGAGGCCTGAACTTTCTCGGAATATAAATAGGCTGCCTATCGTCCAAAGTCCTCTTGAAAGGATCCTGCAGCAGCTCAAAAGGCCTCAACTTCTTGTCCATATGCCTCGTTTCATTATCGATTTCATAAATCTTCTCCCAGCTGTAAACCTCGTAGTCCAATTTGAACCTAGGACGATTGGACACAAGAAACTTGTACTCCCTCTCCAACCACTGTCTTTTGTCATCATCCGCATAATCAGCAATCACTTTTTCCTCGTGGTTCAAATAAGGCGTGAGATTGATGCCCAAACGACTCTCAGGGACATTACAATAGAACAATAGAAGACCATTCTTCATTTTTAGTTCAGCTAGTATTGAGACAGAGAACATATTGTCTTCTCCATCTGTCCTTAATTGTCTTCAGTGTTCCAACGTAAAATAGTCGAAATGTTATGTTGGCAACACTGGACAGAAGAAATGGAGAAGATCATATTAACTTCAATATAAAAAAAACTAGAATGGCCTTCTTCTCCATTTCTTCTCATTTCCAGTGTTGCCTACATAAAATATTCCACGTTGGAACACTGAATACAAGAACAGATGGGGAAGACATATTTTTTCTCTCTCAAGGCTAGCTGAACTTCTCCATTCAATGATAGGCCAATAACCAATCTCACAACAATTTTCGATCAATGTTGAAAAAAACACGACTGAAACATTTCAAAAATTGATTCGAATCTTCCCGCTACCTTCTTCCTCTCTATTTTTAGATTACCTACTGATTAACAACTTTAGATTATTACTCAAATTTGATTTAGACTTGATATTCATGATTTTTCACAGAAGCAGTTGAAGAAAGGCATCTATGAAGCTATAGAGTAGACTAGAGCGCTTTGACTTGAAAACAAATTTTGAAACTTTTTGATAAAACCGCTTCAGGGTACCTACAGCTCAATACATAATGTCGATCTTCGGTGTTCGAAATCAAACAACAAAAGTTCCTTTAAACACTATATTGACAGTAATTCAATTACAATTCAAGGAAAATATTCCTTGGCGTATTTTCCTTTATGCCTAGGCAAATGAGGCCTGAACTTTCTAGGAATATAGATTGGCTGCCTATCGTCCAATGTCCTCTTGAAAGGATCCTGCAGCAATTCAAAAGGCCTCAACTTCTTGTCCATATGCCTCGTTTTATTATCGATTTTATAAATCTTCTCCCAGCTGTAAACCTCGTAGTCCAATTTGAACCTAGGACGATTGGACACAAGAAACTTGTACTCCCTCTCCAACCACTGTCTTTTGTCATCGTCCGCATAATCAGCAATCACCTTTTCCTCGTGGTTCAAATAAGGCGTGAGATTGATGCCCAAACGACTCTCAGGGACATTACAATAGAACTTCAGAAGAAGTTCGAGGACTTGGTCATTGAAACCTTCGGGTTTACCATTCTCGACTCTATCGTAAAGGTTCAGCTCTTCAGATTCTTTTGGGATCCTCATACACATTCTTGCTTTGGGGTAAACTATAGTGTTTGAGTTGATACGTATAAAAAGACCATTCTTCATTTTAGTTCAGCTAGTATTGAGACAGAGAACATATTGTCTTCTCTAACTGTCCTTAATTTTCTTCAGTGTTCCAACGTAAAATAGTCGAAATGTTATGTTGGCAACACTGGACAGGAGAAATGGAGAAGATCATATTAACTTCAACATAAAAAAAACTAGAATGGCCTTCTTCTGCATTTCTTCTCATTTCCAGTGTTGCCTACATAAAATATTCCATTTTTTACGTTGGAACACTGAATACAAGAACAGATGGGGAAGTCATATTTTTTCTCTCTCAAGGCTAGCTGAACTTCTTCATTCAATGATAGGCCAGTACCAATGTCACAACAATTTTCGATCAATGTTGAAAAAAACACGATTGAAAAATTTCAAAAATTGATTAGAATCTTCCCGCTACCTTCTTCCTCTCTATTTTTAGATTACCTACTGATTAACTTCAGATTATTACTCAACTTTGATTCAGACTTGATATCTATGTTTTTTCACGGAAGAAGTTGAAGAAAGGTATCTATGGGGCTATAGAGCAGACAAGAGCGCTTTGACTTGAAATCAAATTTTGAAACTTTCTGATAAAACCGCTTCAGGGTACCTACACGTCCTACAGCTCAAAACATCATCATAATGTCGATCTTCGGTGTTCGAAATAAAACAACAAAAGTTCCTTCAAACACTATATTGACAGTAATTCACTTATGACTTAAGGAAAATATTCCTTGGCATATTTTCCTTTATGTCTGGGTAAATGAGGCCTGAACTTTCTAGGAATATAGATTGGCTGCCTATCGTCCAATGTCCTCTTGAAAGGATCCTGCAGCAACTCAAAAGGCCTCAACTTCTTGTCCATATGCCTCGTTTTATTATCGATTTTATAAATCTTCTCCCAGCTGTAAACCTCGTAGTCCAATTTGAACCTAGGACGATTGGACACAAGAAACTTGTACTCCCTCTCCAGCCACTGTCTTTTGTCATCGTCCGCATAATCAGCTATAACTTTTTCCTCGTGGTTCAAATAAGGCGTGAGATTAATGCCCAAACGACTCTCAGGGACATTACAATAGAACTTCAGAAGAAGTTCGAGGACTTGGTCATTGAAACCTTCGAGTTTCCCATTCTCGACTCTATCGTAAAGGTTCAGCTCTTCGGTGCCCCAACAAATATTCCTTTTGGGATTCTCATTGACGTACATCGTGTGGAAAACTATGGTGTTGAGTTGGTAGGCATAGAAAGACCACACTTTTCCGTCTGTGATGACGGTTTGCGTTACAAGAGGGTAGGTTATGTCATTGTAGGTGTTGAAGCCTAGAAAATTTGCTTGGGCTTGCAGCCAACCGAAAGAAGCTATTATCGCTTGGCGGTGGACGGCTTCTTTGTCGTCTTGTGGGTCTTGGTAGTGTTTTCTGTTGTGCAAGTAACCTCGGTTGTGGTACGACAAGAGACCGAATTTGTGAGGGTCGCCTGGCCAAAATCCTGAAATGGATTTCAATAGCTAATACGGATAATCTCTATCTGTTTCCATAGCGAAACATGAAGCCGATTTTTGAAGACAAATGACTATCCATAAGGAAAAGTGAGATACTGCGCATGATCAAATACGCAAGTTCAAATGACAATCATTCTCATTCATTCTAACCTAACTCATTATTTTGAATATTTTGACATGAGTGACATGACATTTATGGACTATGTTTATGTTTTATTATTAGGATTTTCGGGATATAATTCATTATTTCAGGATGATTTAATGATTATGAATGATACAGGACATGCTAGTGAAAATATAAATTCTGAAAGAATGGAATCATTTATTTATTTTTGTCCACAGGTCTTCATTATCTTGGTAGGTAAGTTTTTCAAATGATGAAGTGTTACAAAATTACCCTTGAGAATATCAAATGCTAATACTTACATTTGGTTTCCCTATGATATGTTCATCCCATTTTCATTATCCCATTGCCGCAGTAGGTACTCGCTTTTCAATTTAAAAATCAGGAATAGCATAAATGAACCATAATTGATATGATGCATTCCTAGATAAGTACATAAACAATTTCACATGAAACAGTTCTGGTCTATTCATATAAATAAACACTGATAATAAATGAACAATTATATCTTTTTAAACACCCTGAAATCACTGAATTTATCGAAATCTATGGATACCACTGATGAAAAATCGCTAATAAACATGTCCGCGAAACGTAAACAAAAACAACAGAATGTCATGACCTTTTGAAACGATCAGCTACTATAATAGCGCATGCGTATCATGCCACCAAATCCTAATGGATATTCATTTGTTTCATATTTTTGGCTTCATCCTGGCACCCGTTATGATCCGTATTGTTTATTAATACGTATATGATTTTTCTACAAACGCCTAACAAAGTAGCCTTTGACGCTTTCAAATTCCAGCACAAAGTTGACGTTTTCCCAGAAATGTCATTTTTGACAGCATTTGCGCTCGTGAGCGGAAATATTGAAAAAACGCTCGCACATCTCTGTAACCTATACTTATCTATTCTTGAAAACCCCCAATTCTTTCATGATGGAAAATAGTGACAGTGAATCATCAAACACACCTCCTGATATAGCAGAAAGCGCAAGAGTTTGAATCTCTTACCGGAGAAATCAAGAAAGAAATAATATGAATTACAATGACACATTCATAAATTGGTGCCACTCCGAGATGGAGAATATGTGTTCAGAAAACGTTTTACTGGCTTATTCTGGTAAAAAATCGAAGACTTTGGAGTCATCAACTCATTGGTCTATTTATTCGATGGTGCGTATACATGCTTGAATGTTGAAGATAATATCGGAATCAATAAGTATCTGAAACTTATCGCATTTCTCAAGAAACAATCTATTGGATATAAAGCGAGAAAAATCCAAAACATTCACCGCTGAAGATATATACCAACAAATTTCTACAAGAAGCTCCCGATGAAGCATATCTAATGAAAACGATGAATTATACTTTATATTTAAACTATTTGTTGTCATCAGAAAGACAGTGTATCTTTATTTGATTGCATCAATGAGTAATGTTCAATTTGATTGAAGAGCTGATCATACTATGGCTCAGAGGTCTGAAGCTCAGGTTGCCACGCTGGTGGTCCAGTTTCAATTCTCGGTAGGCCCGAAATTTTTTTTCTGGCTTGTCAGTTATTTCATTTTTTTTTTGTTTCCTTTGGACATATGGGACAATATGGATAAGAACTTTTTCAACTATTTCAATCGCTCATACTTTCAGGGTAGTTATTTCCAAAAGCTGCGTTAGTAGAAAAAATCTCGTGTGTATTTCGAGCACAATATAGTGTTATTGCCGCTCTCCAAAGATTACCGCACTCCGCTCCGCATCGCGCGGTAACTATCTTTGTCGAGCGGCAATCTATCACTTTGCGCTCTAAATACACAAATAGCTATTCTGGGAAAACGTCAACTTTGTGTTGGAATTGAGCGCTTGTAGAAAGATTCATTATCGGTATTTCAAAGCTGTTCCGATGATTCGATCAGAGTAGTCATAATCCTAATGATCAGATAGGTAGGTATAGGGTGGTCAAAAAAAGCGGAATTCTGTTTCTGAAAAATATCTTCTTTATTAATGGACCGATTTCATCGATTTTGGTCTTGTTTGAAGGAGAATTGAATAAGCCAAAACGTCAACTTCATATTTATTGAATTTCTTCATAAAGCAAAATGGCTGATACACCTAAATTTGGCCGAACTTGAAAACCTGCTGGAACTTTTTCAACAGAACAAGAGGCCAAACATGCAAATCCGTCAAAAAATAACTGACATGTCAGGATAAAGACAGGTATGTTTTCACATCTAGAATCCGATTTTCTTGCGTTTGTTTCTATACTTGTTAGAACAAAGATAAAATCTTCATCGTTTCAGATTGGTCCGAAAATTATGAAAGATACTTACTTAATTCAACGCAAAAAAAAAGAAAAAAAAGCACCATTGTGAATTTGAACCCTCCGAAAAGATACACACATGAAAATATAATTTCGTAGAAATTGATTACACACAACTTGATTTTTCTAAATTATAAAAGAAAATAGAAATCCAGATGTTGAAACATGCCTGTCTTTCTCCTGTCATATATCAGTCATTTTTGACGGATTTGCATGTTTGACCTATTTCCATTCAATAAAGTCCACTCTCAGAACACCACACGCAAAGTTATACAGTGGGACTCAAAAAAGTTCTAGCAAGTTTTTAAGTTCAGCCAAGTTTAGGTGTGTCCGCCATTTTGTTTAATGGAGAAATTTGATAAATATGGAGTTGACGTTTTGTCTTGTTCAATTCTCTTTCAAACGAAACCAAAATCGATGGAATCAGTCCATTAATAAAAAAGCTATTAATCGAAAACAAAATTCTGTTTTTTTAACAACCCTATACAGGGAAGTGCATAAAAATCGGCCAGGACTGTAACTTTCGAATCATTCGAGATATTCTTTGTTCTATCACTTCTGGTTGTACTGGAAACGACCCCAACTTTTGATTTTCGAATGAGATACCCTGTATTGTATTCCATAATCGGTTAGGGACATAGTGGAAGGAGAAGATGGTGTGCCTACGCGCATATTATGTGATACTGGGATACCAATATCAGCTGCTAGTCACAGACAGATACCGTTGCCATGGGCGTGCGCAATGAATTCAATCATGTTTATTGAAATTTCTATAAGTTTCTCGATCTGTTTAGAAATAATTCAATTCATATAAACAGCAGGTACCTATTCCTTCGATTTTACTATTTCATTGATTATGGAAATTGTGATCTTGAGGTAATTCGCAATGGCAAATAGCAAATACATAAGAATTATCATGCATTGCCAATCCCATATGAATGATCCACTACTGCATGTGTCGATTCTGTAAGATTAAAGTTCAGCAGTTAACGACGTTGACGTTGCTTCTGCTCCGACATCGACAACAGGAGTATCAATTTTTGCCGTTTTGTTATTCAAATCTTTGCTGCAATTTATATTTTGTGAGAAATCAATAGTTTGGAATTCATTTTCAATTATTTCTGACTTGATATTCGGAAGATGTTCTGTAGGAATGGCATCTTGTTTAAAATATTTGTGATTTTTTAGAGGTGTGTAATTCAAGAACCGTACTTTCGCACTTGTTTGGGAACATTCTGCATGGAAATGTTTTGAAGAAATACGTGCTGTGCTGTAATATGAATGTGATGATAATATGATAGGTGAATATTTTGGAATGAGGATATAAGGAATAAAAGGTAGGTACCATTATTTGAGTTTATATTCTGTCGGCATCAGCAAGCTCCCATCGTTTCGTTGGGTCTCCATTCTTGGAAAAGCAGAAAAATTCAATATATGTGCCTTTTGTATGTTAGTTGTAATTTCCATAACCAGAAACGAAACAAGTAGGCATTTCGAAATTATTTGATTCAATTTTAGTACTTATATAATATCTGAAGTTCGAGACATCAATCACGAAAACAAATAATAACAATGACAGTTATATCCCAGCTGACGTCATGCGCAGAATAAGACGAGTTTTAGCTTTCTGTTGAGCACACCATCTTCTCCTTCCACTATGGTTAGGGAATGCCATAACGAATTCATCTAAGTTTCCATATGCTCAATAAGTGTGACAGAGCGTTGCCATCGAGATTATAAGGCTTGCATTCTTCCGTTGTGACGTCACCTTAGTGAGGCCTAATCAGCGGCTCGAAACGACAAGCGCTTATGGCGCTATAAGGCGACCTCGTATTTCAATTTTAGTTTTAGAGCATTATTGAGACAATTTTGCTGTTTTTTTAAAGGGCTTCCGGTTAAAAAAGGATGCCAGTCGTCAACTGAGCCCTTCTTCGCATCCCATTCAAATTTATTATGGAAAAACGAAGTTTCAAAGCAAAACCCAAAATAAAACACAAATACCCACCTACAGCAACCCATTCGGATAAAATATATCGGCAAAAATTGTGGTGAAGGTGAATTTCACACCTACTTATACAGGGCCAGCAGAACATAAACTTAACGTGAGATTGATCGTGAGAAAATTGTGGAAAATGTATTGTGTTTTGATAGACATGCCGTTTGTTATAATCACCTATATTTATCTTGGAGAATTCCTATTACCTAAAAAATTAGCCAGTGAGTGTTTTCAATTTCCTGCTGTTGGATTTTTTACCCAATTGATTGTTAGACTCGAAACAGTAATTTTTGAGGGTAAAACTGCATTTATCATTCGATGGTTTTTTTTCGAAAATTTTTTTTGAAACTTAGGTATTTTTGTCTGAAAAACACAAATTTGATAATGAAAATATGAACAAACCACTATTTATCGAGATATTTCAAGAAAAAGTTCGAAATTTCGCCTCCTTTCTCCCCTTGTGTTGGGGAAATTTAAAGCTACTTGTTCTTCTTATTTTGTCATTGGACACTTTATATACTCATCATGTACTTCGATGACACATTTTTATA